CATACATTAACACTGAATCGCCACTGATGATGAGTTTCTAGTATTGCATGGGGATTTTCATCGCTCCAAACGTGCGCATTATGAATATTAAAAATTCCGCTTTGAGTAAATGTTGCTTCATCCGTAAATATGGCCCACCTACAAAAAATCTCTCTTTTTTCGCCATCATTTTCTGTTAGAGCTTGAACGGTGTTGTAATGATAAGGATAAAGCAACTGCTCCCTTAAAATGCGGTGAACGGTTGTTTTGTTAATGTTTTCTTGTGCAGAAATTCTTCTAATGCTGGTTGAGGCATTTTCATCGACTCTTCTCAAAACTGCTTCTTCTAATTCCACCGGCCTTGTGTAATGTCTCTCCGTGGAATGGCTGTGGGTTACGCTTCCCGTTTCTTTTAATCTGAGAAATAGTCTGCTAAAGGTGTGACTATTAGGCAATCGTCTGTTCGGGAACCTTTGCGCGTAATGACGAGCTGCTAACGACGCATTTCCATCAGCTAGTCCGTAACAATACACCATATCCGCCATCTCTTCCTTGGAGTAATTAATAGGAGCCATACTTAATAGTTTTATTAAATTAAATAGTAAAATAATAATTTCGTGAAGTATTATTATTTTTTTTTGATTAGACAACTTATCGTAATCATAGTAACGACTTAATTATTATAAAAACAAATTTAAATTCATGATGTTAACAATATCAACTTATGAAACTAAATCTTTGGATATCTCGAAAATGGTCCATTTTCGGACCTATGTTTATTAGGCTTTTTTTGTTTATTTTTGATCATAGAACACGCTGATGCAGTTTTGTACAATCGTTGCGGGACATCCTGTATAGTTGTTAGGGCTCGTAGTAAATAATAAACCGACGTGATATTAGCTCAAAGTAAACTCCAATAAAATGGCGATTCACAAGGCCCGATTTTGTCTAGACGGACTCACTGTCATTTCTGATTATTCTGTGGTATAGTGTTAGTTTTAGTTTGACACTTGCACTGTCACTAGAAATAACATTAGATTTAGAAATATTCGGGTTTAATTTTGCGTCTCATAAGACTTCTAAAGACGAATGAGTCTAGTTCTTGGTCTAGCGCTCCATAACATTTAAAACTAGAACTAACACAAGACCTAGAACTAGAAAGTTTTGGGCCGAATTTAAGAAAAAAAATTTCTAAGCAAAAAATACTTAGTTTGTTCAAGACGTTGAAAGAAAAAAGTATATGTGCGATTTGAAAAAATGAAAATGACGTCAGAAGGGCCTTTAGGCAACCCTGAAAAAAAACTGCTCATTTTCACCAAAAAAAATTTACTTGAAATTTACTGATTCGAGTTTTGGTTTTCGAGATGTCATTTTAAATGAAACACCCTGTATATTTTTAGTTTTCTTTTCAGCTAGATCATTTTTGAATAAAAAAACATTTTTGAAATTGATACATAAAATTTAGTAATAAAAAAATGTAATAAATCAATTTGATACACGATGAAGTCCATTAAAACATTTTCCGGAAGGCCGGAAATTTGTGGAACGCACCCACGAACATATTCAGTTACGCAAAACGGTTTGTGCGTTGTCTTTCCAAGATTTTCTAGTTATAAAAGGTAGGTTGGCGTGTCGCGTGCCCAACCCACACCTTCTTTTTTGTTTAATTACTGGGGTTATCGAGGCAGTGATACGTTTCGAGTTGCCACCCCCGCAAACCTTAACGTGGAAACCACCCTGACCGAGATTACCTTTGACTTTTTTTTCTCTCTCCCCTAACTATAACACTTTCATAAGGGATTTCGTCTGACATTTCCGCCAAAATTTCACGCGCTTTGAATCTAGGACACGATGATGTATGTCAATGTTTACGTTATCCTCATCCCCTTCGAAAAACATTCCACGTGGAACTAAAATACATAAATGTAGATATGTTTTTTTAGTTTACTGTAAAAATCGTTTTAAATTAAATTATATTAATTTAAATAAATGTGTTAAAATAGGGCGATAAAAATTTGATCGAAAATAATGGGTCGACCTCATTTCCGTTTTTAATCAATGGCAGGGACTGTCCCATTCATGGATACGGGCGAAGGTAAGCGCTGCCAATAACCTTTTATCGAATAGGCATGACATCGGTCGCTTCCACGTGGAAAATGGGAAAGCCAACAAAGCTTTTGTACTACAAGAAAACACTTTCAATTTTTATGACTCATCTTTATTACATAAAACAAAAATTATTTTCTAACTCGATCAATTTTAATTTGATTGATTTAGTTATAAAGTCATCCTCATTTTTTATGATCTTAACAATTACATCAGACATCTTTTTAAATCGTTGATTCATTTATAATTTACAAAACAAATTAAAGAGGTCAGTGTGATTGATACTTGAGTTATGAACTTTAAAAAGATCAAAGCTAATCGTGTTAATGTAATGTTTTGACTATATATACTTTGTTGAGATAAATTATTGCTTATATAAAAGTTGTAATAAGAAAATTAGAACTATTTTTTTATACAAATATTTCGCATAGTCTAAAAATAGTGGTCCAAAATGATATCCTTTGAAACTTGGCATGAATTGGGAACAATCGTTAAAAATACTAGGAAGTTTACTAACACTGCAACAACTTTAAATTCATCAACTACAGTTTTATTTTTCAAAATTAATTATTTATTTGAAGTTAATAAGCAACCTCGGCGATATCAGACGATATGGTTCATTTAATGTCTTAGAATTGTTCTAAACGTACTACACTTAAATGAGGAATCGTTTAACTTCACATCGCCGAGGTCGCTTGCGGGCGAGGCGCTAGAAGTGATAGTTTGTTCCAGTTTTATGGAACTACCTCAGCGAAGTGAGCTAAACGATCCCTCATTTCATTGTAGTACATTTGGTTCAAATTCCAAGATATCAAATGAATGATATTTATTACATCTGTAATTATATCACAGTAAAGCTTTTATACCAGCTTTTACATATAACACAAGCTACATTTGAGTTGAGCTTTTAACCTATGATTTCACTGTTTTCTAAGTAAATTAATAATCTGGGAACTATGACATCATTTTATTGTTTATTTAATAACAAAGACTTGTAATTATTTAAATTGATTCGTAATTTGGATTTGATCCAAACTTAAAACGTTTTTTAAAGCATATTTTTGATGTGGCTTTTTAAATGGGAAATTTTTTTCTTATTGACCTTGAACGACATCCTTTTTATATGGATGATAAAATATGTAAATTAATCCAAGCATAGTTATACCGCGTTGTTGCATTAAAATTATAAAAAATACATTTGTTATTGCTTTTGATTACTTATATATTCGAAATAATGTTGTTGAATTTATTTTTAACCGTGAATCATCGCCAACATGATAAGCCTTGGTAATATTTATTATCAAAGATTGGATCATAATTGCAATATACATTAAATAACTTTTATTATATTTTGTTTACTTATTTATTATTATACCACAAATTTATTTATTTTTTTAATCTTATTCCTTTACTCGAGGCAAACGGAAATGTTAAGGAATGCTTATTTTTAGAATTCATTGATTTTCTACGAAAATTTTTGCCACACTGGAGAACAATTTGCCGCAATTACAGGAGCATAATTATTCTATTTCTGTTTTTACATTTCTAGATATCCTATTTTAAAGTTTTTTTCTTAATTATAAAGTCAAATTTCAATGTTCACTCTTTTTCGTTATGTTAATGACTTCTTAAAGTGACATCATCCACCAAAAAACTGCCATTGTATTGAAGATTTTCAACAAAAACTTCATTTAGACCAAATATTTTAGTGATTCAATAAAGTCGGTGGTTTTGTGTGATTTTGAAAGCCAAAATAGTTACAAAATCATATCCAATGTGTTATTTAGAAACAATATTCAATAATGAAACTTAAGGTACAATTAACCAGTTGTCACCTGCGATTTGCAATCTGTTGTCTGTCTCGGAATTGTACCTTAACCGCGATTTTAGTGCAACTTCAATGAAGTTATTACAAAATGTATCAACGCTCCAGACTTAAAACAAAATCTTATGAAAGACTTCTCTTTTCTAAAGATTGCATTATCTAAATAGTCTTATTAAATGGTAACTTTGGAAGTTAATAAACTTCACTTAATGAAAATAACTTAAAATGTATACTTACATGGTAAAATAATCAGTGGTAAAAGAATCCTAAAAAGACACGTGCAAAGAACATTAGCCATTATTAATCTGAAAAAGATAAACAAACCCCGATTAATTAATTAACATTAGTACAACACCAAAAGTACAAAATAACATCAATTTGCATAATACAGATGAATGGTACGGAAAGAATTAAACACGCAAAAACTTGCAAGATAAAAACCGACAAAGAGATTCGCGTTTTGATATCAAAATACAAATTCAAATCGCGTGTGTTTTCCGGCTGAGAGAAGTTTTAATAAAACTAATGGATTACTTACTGTTGTTAAAAATTCGCGAGATTTCGCTAAAATAAACTATAAAATATGTATGTGAAGTTAAAATTATTAAAAATTGACAAGACTTGTCACTGTCTTTGTTGACATTGACATATTTTTGGATATCATCGCAATCTTAATTTTTTTTATTATTTACACCAACGCAAGTTTTAAATTTGTAAATAAATGTACGAAAAAAGTAAACGAAGGAAATAAAACGTTTTTCTTTCTTTAGTATTTAAAATTAGATTATTACTTATAATATAATTACGAATATAGTGAATCTTACTTTTTACTAATTTTTTATGTAGACTGTACACGTATGTTATGATCGACACGTTTTTCACGTATAACACAACATTTTTTTCAACATTAGAGAACCGCACCTTCCACGGACAACTCTCGGCATGAACTAAATTGTAAACCAGACAAACCAGTGCAGGAGAATTTAATAGATATTGTTTCGAACTTGGTTTGAAACTCCGCTTTTAATTGCGGATTAATTCAACAGATGGCGTATTCATCGAATTATAAATAAAAAAATTAATAATAATTTAATTTAATTATAAAAAAAATCGTTTCAAATTATAATCGTGAATAAATTGTATTAAATTGAAATAATGACCAAAAGCCCCTGTTGTGATGTCAAACATGGGTAGGCAACCAATATTTCATACTTTGAATTAGCAATTATTTAATTTATTTTATTTGTGTTTTGTAATGTTGTTAGTTTGAGACTTAATAAGGTTCATAATATAAAAGAAAAAGGCTAAACCTAAATATTTCTAGTTCTAGGATTAGTTTTAGTTTATTAAAAATATATAACAATCTAGCGCTGAATAATAATTAAAACTAGAACTAACACTAGACCTAGAACTAGAAAGTTTCGGGTTTCGCCGTGCCTCTGAAGACTGCTGAAGACGCACGGAACAGCCAGAATATTCAGTACAGAGAATTTGGTTCTGCAGCATTCGGCAAGCGCAAACCAATCATGACTCTCAAGCATTTCCTTTGCATTCGAAAAGCCCAGCATAGAATGGCGTAGGACAATATTTATCAGACTTGTAGTATTCACCACATTCACTATGATGAATGTGGAAGTCACAATTGCCAGTTTAGCAGAAGTCTGGTTGTTGAAAAAAACATACTGAGTGCGTAATTTTTAGCAACAATAATTCGTGGTCAACGTAATCGAAAGCTTGGTCAGATTAAAGAAAGATATCTCTGCCAGCCGATTGTGTTCAAAGCCATTTCGTATGCATTGAGTGATATTGCTGAAGTGGTGTACATAGATATACATAAATATAGAAGGGAGACTTGGAAATAGTTGTGAGCTTGATATTTTATCACGATTGTTATAGATTAAATTGTAAGGAATTATTTGTATATAGACGATTGTTAATAATATAATAAATGAATTAAAAATGCTATAGGAATAAAATAAAAAAAAAGTCACATAATATTTCTTGCATTTACTTGAAAACAAAAGTAAAGAAGAAAAAAGATATAATCGAAAATTATTAGAACAATTTATTTTAAAATATTAAAAACACATTCTTCTCCGATAATATAGAGTCTATGCAAAAACGTTTTCTTTTTGTCACAGATGACGGTCACAAATATCATTCAAAATAAACGGGCATAATTAATTAATTTGTAATAATCCATCTTTTTTCTTGTATTCTTTTTTGTTCAGCTTAACGCTTCAACAGTCCATTCGAGCGGAAAATAAAACCAAAAATATTAATAACACTTGTAGCGCGCTGCACAAGTCTTCTTCTATTAATTTCCATTCGTAAATAAGTAGAAGAAACCCGGAATTTTGGGCGTCGAGTATTCATTAATTTACGTATTAACAAAAAAGTAAATTCTTGATTTAGGCAGAATCGCATTATATTTTTTTTTTAATACAATATATAATATATATGTATACAACACTATTCAAATTTAAATTTCAATCTTTTTTATTTTAATTAATTCTTTTGGTTCTAAAAACTTGGAATTAACGGCATCTGTATTTTGGAATAATTTATTTAAAATGATACTAGAAGTTGGTACAATCAATCCTATCTCTTATCCTTTTAACCGGGTTACGCACTCGTAATAAAAACACCGTCCGAAATGAGATTCCGCAAAACTTTCCATCATAAAACATCTTCTTTCAGCAGATCTCTTCGTGGGCTGATCTCGTTTTTCCATTTATTTAATCAATAATTTTTTTTACTTTTATTATAATAATTAATTTTTTATTTCGTTCAAAGAGTTTAAACGTTACAAAGAGAGATCACTCGAGAACGTCTAGAACTGTCCGGTCTCGTTTACGCGACGTAGGTGTACACTTTTCGGTCTTCAGGAGTCCGAGCGAGATACTCCCTTTCGATCAAACCCTCAATCCTTTTCTTTATAATAACCGGCGACGGCAAAAACCTACTCTTCAATTGTTCAGTAACTTCCGTAACGAGTAAATTATGCGCCATCCTTTTCCTACTTTTCATTATTCTCACTATGGCGGCTTCTATTTCGTGTTTACGATCCTCATCGACTTTATTTCTCGTTTCTCTTCGTTCGGGTTCGCTCTCGCCTTTCGCGGCAACCGTTTGTATTTTTACGCGGTGTAATTTCGACGTAAACGAATCGTTTACGAAGAATTCGTGAGACGGCTCGATATCCTTCGTTTTTGGATTTTTAATGAGTATTCGTTGCGTTGGTTTACCCATCGCGAGCGATTGCAAAGCCCTGATTAAATCTCTTTCGGGTATATCCGTTTCATTTTGAATCTCTTCGTAAGAAAGCTTCTCGTGATTATTAAACAGCATTAAAACAACCATTTGATACGTTGAAACTTGGATTATATGTTTTCGAGGACCCGAACGATTTGAAACGACGCTCGTTGTCGAAGATGAGCACGCACCTTCTTTATCGCTTTCTTCTTTTTTCGGACCGTAAAAGACTGCGTTTAAATCTGCGTTACCCAATTGCGGTTGTAAAGTTAATTGGCGACCGCTATGTTTAGCTAAATAAAATCTAAAAATTTAAATTTAAATAAATTTGAGAAACTCCTTGGTTTATTAATACTGTATATAATTTCCCAAAAATAACAAACATTATTGATTTTTGATATTTGAAACTCTTAAAAAAAACTTTTTCGTTACTTTTGGGAAACACTGTATATTTATTAACCTTCGAAAACATTCGAAAGCTGCTAACGGAACTGCTGGTATGTGACATTTGGGGGTCGCACTTTGGGTGGGCCAAAATCCGGTCGTTAGCACCCTCATAAACAAATCGACTCCCCCTAAATTTGTCTAAAAAAGATTACATGTTAAAAAGACACATTTAAAAAATTTATTTATACTAAACGATATGGCAACGTAATTAGCTTCGCTTCTCTCTGGATTCAATTTTACATTTTCTAATCCATTTTTATAAAAAAATATTATAAATAAAAGCAAATGGGACAGTTTCTAACGCGTTATACTCTATACAGAGAGAAGAGCAGCTTGCAATGTTGTCAGGTCGTTGTTTATACCTCATTTTTGGCAACGTGTTCTTTAAATTCATCCATAATCGTGTTTGATACTGTCATATCTTTGAACATCCCCTCTAATTTTGATGTAAATTGGCAACCACATTCGGTCTGAAATTGAAATATTGATTCACATTAATAATTATTAGATTGTTTGGAATGTAATTTCGTTTTTTTTTCAAATAAAAGAAACAGAAACTACTAAATAGTTATCTTTCATGAATGTTTAGTCAATAGGAAGACAGAACTAGAAACTTTTTAGTTCTAGGTCTAGTGTTAGTTCTAGTTTTACACTAACACTGTTAATATGTAGAACTAACACTATACCTAGAACTAGAATCATTTGGGTTTTGCTGCACGTCTCTAAAGACGGCTAAACCCGAATAATTCTAGTTTTAGGTATAGTATTAGTTCTAGTTTTACACTAACACTGTTAATATGTAGAACTAACACTATACCTAGAACTAGAATCATTTGGATTTAGCCGCACGTCTCTAAAGACGGCTAAACCCAAATGATTCTAGTTCTAGGTATAGTGTTAGTTTTAGTTTTACACTTGCACTATAACTAGAAATAACATTAGATCTAGAAATATTCGGCTTTAGTCGAATTTTAGAGCTGCATAACAAAACTAGAACTAACACTAGACCTAGAACTAGAAAGTTTCGGGTTTAACCGTGCGTCTTCAGAAAAATGATTTAAAATGAGCCCAAACTCGACGGGGTTGTCTTAAAGAACAAAAAAGTTAACTTCAAAATCATAAACGTCAACTGTCAAAATAATGTATTAAGAGATTTTAACTCTATTTTCTTAAATAAAATATAAAATGAGACCAAACTCGAAGGAGTTGTCTTAAAGAATAAAAAAGTTAACCTCAAAACCATTAAACGTCAACTGTCAAAATGATTTTTAAATCGTCCTATCTTGGTTGTTTTTAGTGATAAATATGCCGTGTTTGGTGTCGTTTTAAAGGAAATTAAATAAAAAAGGAAATTATTTATAGGAAAAACGGAGAATTACATATTCTTGTAAAAAAATATAGTCGGAAGTAATAATTTTTAAAATTTTAACCTAAAAGTCATTAAACGTCAAAATTATATATACAGGTGTCACACAAAAAACGCCCCAAGCTGTAACTTTGTCATTTACATTCCGATTTTCATGAGCGAGATATCAAATGAAATGGTTTGATGAATACTATGATTCATGCTACAAATAATTTTTTTCCAATGCACACTACAATATTACAGCCGTACGTCTCTAAAGACGGCTAAACCCAAGGACAGTAGAATCTAACAGGACTGCTACATCCATTGTATTTTTGTAGTCCACTACGGGTTGGTTGCCCGCACTCTACGTCACACTATTTGCCACGCCTGGTAACTGTCTGTGTTTTTAGAGGTTATATGATAGACATTAATACGTCTAAAAACATAAAACTTCAAAAATATAATGAATACGTCTAGGATATAACCTCTAATAATACACAGCAAACACAGACCATAACAACAGCTGGGCGTGGAAAATGGTATGACGTAGTTTGCGGGCAGGTTGTCACAACAATGGATGTAGCAGTCTTGTTAGATTCTACTGTCCTTGGGCTAAACCCAAATGATTCTAGTTCTATGTATAGTGTTAGTTTTAGGCCCGTTACTACCATCTTTTAGTTACATTTATCTTATAGATAAACCCATCTACTAGCCAATCAGAGCGCGTAAAATAGCCGTTACCATGGTAATAATCCCTTAGATAGCTTAACCAGAAGATGGTAGTAACGAGCCTTAGTTCTACACTTGTACTGTCACTAGAAATAACATTAGATCTAGAAATATTCGAGTTTAGCATTGCGTCTCATAAGACGGTTAAAGTCGAATGATTCTAGTTCTTGGTCTAGTGCTGCATAACAATTAAAACTAGAATTAACACTAGACCTAGAACTCGAAATATTCGGGTTTAGCCGTGCGTCTTCAAAAAAATGCTTTAAAATGACGCCAAACACGACGGGATTGTCTTAAAGAATAAAAAAGTTAACTTCAAAATCATAAACGTCAACTGTCAAAATAACGTATTAAGAGATTTTAACTCTATTTTCTTAAATAAAATTTAAAATGAGACGAAACTCGAACGGGTTGTCTTAAAGAATAAAAAAGTTAACTTCAAAACCATTAAACGTCAACTGTCAAAATGATTTTTAAATCGTCCTATCTCGGTTGTTTTTTGTGATAAATATGTCGTGTTTGGTGTCGTTTTAAAGGAAATTTCACGGAGATTTACATATTCTTGTAAAAAAATATAGTCGGAAGTAATAATTTTTAAAATTTTAACCTAAAAGTCATTAAACGTCAAAATTATATATACAGGGGTGTCACACAAAAAACACCCCAAGCTGTAACTTTGTCATTTACATTCCGATTTTCATGAGCGAGGTATCAAATGAAATGGTTTGATGAATACTATGATTCATGCTACAAATAATTTTTTTCCAAGGCCTTCTTCAGTTTTAAACGATTATTAACTTTTGTTTTTCAAATTGCTCCATATATTGTTCTTAACGTCATTGGATAGAGATTCGTTTTCTGAATCCATTGATGTACAATACATTCATTTTGAAAGTAATTTTAGCAGAGAAAAGACACCTCTATATACAGGTTGTCACACAAGAACGCTGCAAGCTGTAACTCTGTCATTTACCTTCTGATTTTCATGAACGAGGTATCAAATGAAATGGTTTGCTGAATGCTATGATTCATGCTACAAATAAACATTTTCCAATGGAAATCGGAATGTAAATGACAGAATTACAGCTTGGGGCGTTTTTTGTGTGACCTGTATATGAGATTTTAACTCTATCTTCCTAAATAAAATTAAGAATGCTTTTAAATGAACCCAAATTCATTAAAAAATCATTAAACGTCAAATGTTAAAATAATTTATTGAGAAGTTTTAACTCTATTTATTTCTTCTAACTCTATTAAGTTCTAACTCTATTTTATCTTAAATAAAATTAAAAATGCTTTAAAATGAAACCAACCTCGGTGGGATTATCATAAAAGGTAGAAAAGTTAACCTAAAAATCAAAAAACATCAAATTGCAAAACTATTTTTTTGTAGATTCTAACTACATTCTTTTAAATAAAATTAAGAATGGTTTAAAATGAGCCCAAACTTGATGGGGTTACCTTAAAAAATAGAAAAGGTAACCTCAAAATCAGAAAACGTCAACTGTCAAAATAATGTATTAATAGATTTTAACTCTTTTCTTAAATAAAACTGAATTTCCGTCTACAGACGCAAGGCTAAACCCGAATGTTTAGCCACACGTCTCTAAAGATGGCTAAACCCAAATGATTCTAGTTCTAGGTATAATGTTAGTTCTAGTTTTACACTTGCTTTGTCACTAGAAACATTCGGGTTTAGGCGTGCCTCTCTTAAGACAGCTAAACCCGAATGTTTCTAGGTCTAGTTTTAGTTCTATTACAAATTTGGGAAGTACAGATAAAAAAAAATTCTTAAAAAGATAAGCAAATATCGAAATATATACATTATATATATCTTACCTTAAGTTTTGATATCATATTTTTTTCCCAATCATCACTAACCGACTTATTCAATAATAATCTCTTCGCAAGATGTTGCTTATAGTACCGTTCGAAAACATCCTTTTCTTGTAAGAACCTAAATAAAACCATAGACTTATCAAGCACAACCTCAATATCGTGTTCGGACATTCCCTTAACGCCCTTCTTTAATTTATCATCAATGAAAAGCGATAAATACTCGGGTGATTTCGGGTTCAAATTGAGGAAGTGTTCGAAATCCGACGCGATCATCTGTTTGAATATCTTGTCGTTCGAAAAGGAGTTGATTAAAAAATGATCGAAACGATCCTTCAAGTCGAGTAGTGATTGGACGAAAGTGATTGCGTTCGTTGAAGATTGATGTTCTTCTTCTTGGACGAGCGCTTTTCCTTCTTCGCGGAGGTAATGGCTGACGCAATCGGCCATCGTTTTCAAGCCGTCCCCAACGCGTCCAAACAGCTTGTACATGCACGCCAAATCTTCGGTTTTTTGATTTTTTAGCATATGAACGACGCCGGAATTTTCCATTTCGACGATGGTTTTCATGTGTTTCTCAATGAGTTCCTGTTCGACAACGCCCACTATTCTCGGTTCGGTCGATTCGTCTAAATAGTGTTTGGCGCGTTCCGATTCTTCGTTGATTCGCGCCTCCACCTTTTTTATGTACACAGAGGCGCTATTTTCGGCCAAAAACTTTTGACTTTCAACCTTGTAAAATTCGGCAGATTGTTCTAGAAAAGGTCTTTCGAAATCTTCCGCGTAAACCGATCTACCATCTATACCCAAAATCATTAACATTTGACAAGCATTTTTTATTGAGATACGATCGACTTTTTCACCGCGTCTTTCTCTCATCACCATATCCAGCAATGTATCTTGTAGATGATCTCGAATACAACCATATCGAACAACCTATAAAGAAAAATTATTTATAAAAGAATATAATTTAAATTTAAATTTTAATTTAAACAACCTGATCTCGAAAAATAATTAAACCAAGATTATATACATTGTCGACATCGTTTTGTTGTACATACACACGGTCCATATACATTAGGATGTCACGTATCATCACCATCGATGTTTGATGGTCGTTCCAAGCCTGATTTAATATCAGCAGGAAATTGTTCTTCAACGACTTTAAAACGTCTTCACGGACCTAAAATTAAAGAAAAAGGGGGATGGATTATTTCATTATGTTCATATTAACAACAATAATAAATAAAACTAGATGTTTCGTTCTAACACGTGGGTGATATCATAAATTTTTAGCTTATTTAGGACCACTTTTACCACCTCTTGATAAATTTATCCGATAGATAAATCCAGCTTTTAGCCAATGACAGCGCTTAAAACTACCGTAACGAAAGTTGTATTTAATGGATCCCAAAAAACGTCAACTGGTATTTCATTAAATGATTGTCTATCTACCGGACCAAAACTTCAAAATGAACTAGTCCATGTTCTGCTTCGTTGGAGACGATATCTTGGTTATTATTATAGGTGGAGTATTATAACTAAGACATTATATGGAAATTTTTTTACAGAGAATTTGATGACGTAATCAAAGAAAATTTTTCGGTTTTAAATTTTGAGATATTATGACAATTTTCGTTTTTTTAAATGGAAACAACCACTTATTCGCTTATTAAATTCGTTATTCTTTTCTGATTACAAAAATATGGGGTTAAATAGGTTTATTTCTTATTGTTTTAGAATAATGCTAAAAATAAAGTTTTTTTTAGTGTCGTCAAAGAAATTAAATTTACAGTTTCCTGTAAATTACGATACTATAACTAAAAATTATTCTACTAAATATTTATAAAAAATTTACTTTATTTTCGAATATGTAACATTTTAACATGTTAAACTTTTCGTAATTTTCGTAATCCATCTTAAAAAAAAGGATTTTTAATTTGACACTTCAGAAAATTTTTGAATACAAACAAAAAAATATATGTGAGCGCCATCTATCAATAATTTATTAAGTCATTTAATAATAATATTAAATATTAATAAAAAATGTGAAAATATGTCATTTAATAATAATATTAAATATTAATAAAAAATGTGAAATAATGCAATCTATTCCAACTCTTGTGTAAAACAAATATAAATTAAATAGTTCAACAAATGTATTTGATTCAAATATCAGAAATATGTTTTTTTTAATTTTTAGTTATAAATTACAGGAAACTGTAAATTTAATTTCTTTGACGACACTAAAAAAAAAGAGTTTATTTTTAGCTTTATTCTAAATGATTCTAAAGCAATAAGAAATAGACCTGTCAAACAAGGTCATGATATTTCAAAATCTAAAACCTAAAATTTCTTTAGACTACGTCATGCAGTTCTCTGTAAAAAATTGTCCATATAATGTCCTAATTATGATACTCCACCTATAACAATAACCAAGATAATTGCACTTGGTGGTTTTACGATATTTTCAATTTTGGCCTCTAGGGGAAAAACAAAAGACGATAGCGCTTTGAGGTTTTCGGCATTAGCAGTTTCTCGAAAAACGAGATCATGACATGTAAGCTACTTTTTTTCTACCTCTTATAGTTTCAGAGTTAGCCTATTCGGACTATTCTGATTTTTAATCGACAAAATGAACTTTACAGTTTAATTTTTCGTTCGATATATAATCTTGTAAAGAGAACTCGTGGAAACGTTCAAAGTAGCTTAGATCGTTTAGAAGCGAATTGGGAAGAATTCAACTCGTCTCATAAAAGCTTTTCTATTTTTCTTAAACATAAATTAAGCGGCAGATGAGTTAGCACGAGAAGGCAGTTCTAAAGGGTTTGTGTGGCCAGAGCCAGCAGTTGGCCAAACATATCATTTGCGATGGCCAAACATTGGATTGGACTATGGGCTGAAGAGAGACTTCGCCTACTGTGGANTTCTTAAACATAAATTAAGCGGCAAATGAGCTAGCACGAGAAGGCAGCTCTAAAGGGTTTGTGTGGCCAGAGCCAGCAGTTGGCCAAACATATCATTTGCGATGGCCAAACATTGGATTGGACTATGGGCTGAAGAGAGACTTCGCCTACTGTGGACCAGTTCTCCTAGAATGAGACGCTTAGTTGTTTATTAACATCGCCACTGTCAAACTGGAATATTTTGGGACTTGCTCATAGCAGCATTAAAGTTCTAATGGGTGTCTTTACTGGGCATAGCCGATTAAAAGCACACCTTAACTTGTTGGGTCTAGCCAATAATGTTGAATGCCGATTATGTGCGGAGGACGAGGAGATGGTTGAGCATGTTTTATGCCACTGTCCTGCTGTTAACCATCAGATTTTTGATCTTTGGGTTGCAGTTTATCTCCCCAAAGGATCTGAATCATTTTTCACCAAGCAAGGCATTAATGTTAGTTAAGAGCAGAATTGGACTGCATGTTGAAATTTGATTAAGTTATCTATAGGAGTACAATAGATTTTGCAATGGTGCAAGGTTGGTTGGTCAACCTACCCAATATGTAATCTATGTAATGTGATGTATACAATCATTTCATGTCATTGTTTCATCCATGTCTTTTTGCTTATCTACTTCTGCTCCCACTTTATTCATCACGACCCAAATTTTTCCAGTGTCTCTCTCTTTCCCCCTCGCCATCTTCGTCAATCACTCTCATCAGCACTAAATTCTTTTTTCTGGCCTCTCTCTTTAACATTTCTGTTCTTTTTTTTCTATTTCATGACTTGATCTTTTTACGTTTTCTTCTTTTATAAGTGTTTATACTTCTTTTCCACGCATTCCAAACCGTTTAACTTAAACTAAATGAACTGTATTATCTTTATCTCATATTAAATTATATTTATGTAAATGTATTTTAATAAATTTAATGGCATCCCACTGTAAACAAAAATGAGATATGCAAGTTAAAAGTGTAAGGTAAATACCATTTGACGGTTGTATTCTATATAGATTACTTTTCAAATATAGATAAAAGGTATCTCGTTTCGTTACAACACGTGAAATTTTTTCGAATGTCATCACCATCAGCGGTTTAATTATTTTTATGATGGGTTTAAAATATAAAAACGTTATCGCATCGTGACATCGTGCTTTTTTATTTACTACCTATATTTTTATTAATTTAAAAAAATATACCTTTCCTTCGAGATGCTGTGTTACGACCTCCTTTAAGCCGGTGTAAAGGCGTTCGCCATGCTTGTGCAGGACCATGGTGTACGCATTGCGGTAGAGCTCCTCGAAACTCAACCCCGAATTGTTCTTCTTTTGAATCTCTTGGATAGCATTCTTCAATAAGGCCCATATACTCTCCACATACTTCTCATCCATAGTCATCTTAAAATAAAACAAAGTTTTCTAATAATAACAAATTCGATACGTTTCAAATTAAATTATTTCAAATTGTTGTTTATTTTTATTTTGGGTGATCTAAAAAGTTCTTGCAATTACAAACCCAGATTAGATATGTATCAAGAATTAAAAAATTAAAAAAAATTGATATTAAAAGGAGGAAATGTAATTTCATTATAACAATGAGTTTTAAAATTCAATTGAATTATATTTGAAAAGGTTTCGTTTCACTTTGGTATGTTAAGGACGTTTATAATCGTGCAAAATATTTAAGCAAATCATTCACACGTTGCAAAATTTTTTCCAAACATCCTCTTCCACTTTAAAACTGGAGAGAATCACGCAGACTCAGCAGAAACTACCTAAAACGCTTCGAGATAAAACCAATTTTTGTAGATAACAATGTAATGGATACACACAAACAACACAAAATGTTTTATCATTTGGGCAAGAACTTTTTTGATTACCTTTTATTAAAATAGGTGCGTTTAAGGAGCCGTTTAAATAAAAAAAGGTTTGATAAAAAGTTTCGATAGAGCATTTAAACCAACACACTACATTTCCTCCGATCAGGTCTCCGGGCGGGCCCCATCCTGCGAACTTGTCCATGCAACCGTTCACGGAGTACTTCCCGCACATAGAGACATAGAAATGAGGGTACACAACATCAGCGTCTCGGTGGTGCCGTTTTTGATTCTCAGTTAAAAAGAAAATTGACGACGATGGAAATATTAAAAGCGGGTGGACGCGCTGACGACCTCTTTTTTTGGTTCGTTTAAAATTTTAAAACAACGCTTTCGGATGGATAACGTCGAGATCGATGCGCGCGGCCTATTTATTAAAAATTTTGATTGAACACTGGAATTTTGTTTAAAAAAGGGCCGAGAAATGACAACCGGACGGTTGGCATTTGTTCGCGTCAAACGTCAACCGTTTTTTTCCGGGCAAACTTGGCATACTTGGTTCTTTACAGTTCCGCACGAATCCAACGTGGTCCTCTTTCTTCGTTTCATCACCAAACGATTATTCTTCGCGTGCACCTTTAAAAGTTTTTCTTGATATCCGGAATTACCACTATCAACTAACCGCTCACGATCGGATGATGTAACATTGAGGTGTTGCTTTTGATGTTTTTGAACTGACAAAATATTTTTGTACCAACTGCGTTTTCATCAAACCAAGTCAATTTTTAAAGAGAGGAAACATTTGGATTAAATCAATCCTCTACGAAAAACAAAAATAAAGATACGTTAATAATCAATAAAAATCATTAATTCTCAATTACCTAATAAAGAAATTACACTATCATAAAGATATTGACATTTAAAAATTTTTTTGACGTATCCTTCAATGAGATAACCTCAAATTTTAATATAAAAAAATCGAACCTTGATTCATTTTATATCGCTTTTTCATTGAAATTCTTTTGTAAAATACATTTTTGTTGGATTAATAACACTTTTAACACAAAAATAACAATAACTCAGCAATTAATACTTGCGTTCAATGTTACCAACTTTTAGTGGCAAAAATACCCCGCGTTATTAACAAACCTAACCCTACTTCTTCTAATTCATAATATTATTAATACAGTTTTAAGATATATTAAGTGTAAATCCAACCTTATTAACGCTAAATTATTATTATGTGAAACTAATTCAAGTACTTACTAGACTTTCAAAAAAAACCTTAGATGTCGCCCCACGTTTCTAACCTCACAAAATTTAATAACTCAAAATTATTTGATGTACCTTTTAATTAGTTGGTTAGAAGGAATTCTTGAGATATTTCGATATTCTAAATAACTAGAAAACATAAGTAAACCATGTGGGTGATTATAAACAAGATTTATCAAGTTATATCAAGAGTAAGACCTCACATCTTCTATTAACCCAAAAGAAAATGAAGCTTCCAGTCAATCAGCTTTAGATTAAGTTGCGCCTCTGAGTATCGACGTCTTTGATTTCTAAGTAAATTATAAGAACAACCCAACAGGTATTTTTGACTAACCGCAAAGATATTTGATACACATGTTAACCTTGACCCTTGGAGTGTGGGTTATAAATTCGTTAAGACTAAACTAGGATGAACAACGAGCCCCGTAGAGCTTAAACCAGATAGCATATTAACATAGGTTGATGACTTATTCCCAGACCACCCTGTGGTAACTACAACAACTGCAACACACCATGTCAATGAGGGGGTATTCTCTTATTAACAGAAGATGAGTAGATATCCCCAACGAAAGGTCAGAAGAGTAGAAAAGCACCTAATCCGGGGCCATAACTTGTTCAACATATATCTGAAAAAAGGCATCTTCTGCGAAATATTGAAGATGGAACTTATACCTAAGAGGAAAGTCGATATAAGCAAGCTCTTTGAAAAGAAACAATTCTCTTTTCATATATTTCTTCATATCCAATCACTTTTAAGAATTTATTGCTGCACATAATAGTTTTGTGTCCACTAACCCATCATATTTTGCATGTTAAGCATATTAAATTTACACTTGATCATTTATTTTTACCCACCATATCTTGCATCTACCGATGATACTTTGCTTTTTCGTCTTGTCATTTCCGTCTATTTATAACATTTTGATATTGTTTTTGAATATAATTTTCTTCTTCTAGACTTGATATTTTACCATTCATTGAGATGTTTTATATAGAGACTAATTTATTAATATATAAATTCCTAGAACAGATAAAAACGATGATTTTCAATTTAAGAGTGGCGCCACCTAGAAATCTTCTTCGAATCAAATCAACGAATACATTCTGTCAACATGGCGGCGAAGTTGGTGAATTTGTGAAAAGTGTTTAACAAATTACAGCATAAAGCTTGTTGTATTTCGACGTAAATTCATAACCTATCAAAACAAAATTTGGTTATATTAATTAATTTATCGTAAGTTTGTTTATTTAAATATAATTAATTTAGACATTTATTTTAGTGGGTATCTAACCTCAAAAAATTCGAATTTAACTTTATAAGGTTGGTACGCTTTACTCGTGATGCGCGCGCATCGTGGTAAATTTTGAATTATTTTGTATTTTTTTTAGATTCTTTTTGGTTTTTGAAAGAAAACGAAATGAAAAAATAAGTATTAAAGTGTTTTTTTAAACGTGCTGTATTTATTTGACAGTTAAAAAAAGATTACCAACAAAATAAACTTTGACGTATAAAGACACTAAAAATTGATACAAAAAAAAATTAACGAGAATAGTGAAAGTAAGTTTTTTAGATCGATTAAATTGTGTAAATATACTTACAGGAAAGGCACGAATTCTCATTTTGCCTTCCTTTTTCGGCAGAGCCCCGCTTTTCATCATTGCTCTTGAATCTCTTTTCTCTGACCTCGCGCTCCAAATTCGGTCACCAGCATGAACTCTCCTCGTTCGCTTTAAACAACAAATCACTTTTCATAGCACTCGAATTCGTCCGCATCTGATTCCTATTAGAATCTTCCTAATTTATTTTTTTAATTTTTTTTTTCAAAACGATAAATAAAAAATGGAACTAAATAATCTATCCGATCCTTGATGGGGCCGTCACGATCGAACAACTTTTGTTGTTTTCGATGGTAAAGCAACGTACACAACACAATCCGACACCACCACTACACTTAACAAATGGCATTTGCCCAGTAAATTAACTTCCTCGACTATTCCTCGGGGTCGTGTCTCTTTTGCCACGGGGCCAAACAAACCGTATCAACGACGATTTCCGGGAGATAATTGCGCGATTATAACGCACGAAATCGTTTCGATAAATCGCGTTTTTTCAGTTTTAACTTTCGCCGTTGCTGATTCTACCCTTTATTGTCATGATTCAGCTCGCCATTTACACAAAAACGATAACCATATTGCAATACCATTGCATGGCAACTGAATGATCAACTGAGTCAGATTTAACACCGACATCTGTAATTTAAAAGACAAAACATTTTCATTATTAACAATTTTATGAGTATCCCTATAATTACTATAACTAAAATTAAAAATAAACATTTTTTAAATCTTTGTTTAAAAAACTTGGTTTTTATTACATTACATTTTAAATGCGATTAAATTGATTTTTAAATTTTTAATTAAAAACAAAATCACGAGATGTCACCAGTCGAATTTAAAACAATTTGTCAGTTGTCAAAAAACAGATTTTAAAATTTAAATAATTCAATTTAGAAATTTATAAAGGAAAGAATGGAATATGATAAAAGAATAAAATTAAACGCTTTCCAAGGTTGGACAACCTACAAAGATGATTATCGAAAATTCTCCTTGAGCCTATTAGGACCGCCTGAAGATTCTGTAAAGTATCAAAAAATAACTCCCGAACATAAACCTTTACCGCCTTGCGTAAAATTTCAAAATGAAGATCACGAAACGTTCGTTAAATTTAATAGTTATGTCCCCATGGATCTGTTATGGGAACCTAGACCGATCGTTCAAACGAATCCAAGAATTATTCCCCCAAAGTTTAAAAAAAGCGAATTCGATCCCGGTAGATTAGAAGCGATTAAAACTCGCCCGAGACTTTTTGTATCCCCAGCGATTCCTTTAGACGATGTAGCCGAAGGTGTAGTAAAAGATTTAATCCTAAAAAATACGTACACAACAACGTTAAGGATGGCCCAAGAGGAAGTTATGAAATTCACAAGACCGATAAAAAGAGAGACTTTTGAAACATGTATAGACCGAGGAGACCCTGTAGCTTGCAAAGTCGATAAATTCCCATCGTTACCGCAAGAATGGAGGTCTTTAAGTGCTGCTTGGGATAAGAAACAAAAAAGATCTTTGGTCGATCCAACCCAACAGTTTTGGTTGAATAGGCCACTGTGAGTTTAAAAGTAATTTTTGTAAAAATGATTTTATTTTGAATCGTTTTAGCCACGAAGATATGTACGCTAAAATGTCTAGTTTAGTCCCGCAAGAAGTTAAAGATCACATCAGCGAGTTAATTGATAAAGAAGAAATTCGATATCCGCACGATCAAACAAAACCGCTTTATACGGGATTAAGACCACGATTAGCTTCTGGTGTACCCCTTGAAAAAACTAATTTACCTATTTATCACCCGCTTGTTAGTTCCCAACAAGCTATAGCTAAACGGTGGGAACAAAAATAGTTTGTAATATTTTTAAAAATTATCAATATATTAACATAAACAGTGAATTTCACTTAAGATGCAATATACAAAAATATATTTCTCCTAAGACGGAAATTCGGAGTTATCACAAGGAGGAGTTATCCAAGAAAAATTTTTCTTTGCAAAACTACCCAATACCTGTACTATTAAGCTATGTTGCATTTTATGTGGTACTGCATTCATATATTGCGAGTTATATGAAATTCTCGGTATTAATAATAACAATATTATTAATATATGAATGGAAATGTCAAGTTAATGGGTGTGTAGGCAACCAAATTTACTTATTTTATTTTATGACTTAAAAGGCATTTAATAATTTTTCTTTATTATTAAAAAATTGCCTAAAAAAATGGTTATGATAATAATAATGAATATAATTATTATAATTCTGATTATTATAAATTATAATGAACCTAATGAAGATAAGATCAAAATCTGTTTTATCGATATGTCATTTGTCACTTTATAAAAAAAAATAATGGCGGCTGCGGTAGATAACTTTATAGACTGGTTAGGAAATAAATTAAAAGACTTAAATACAGACGAGAGCGTTTTCGGCTCGTATATAACTGGAATATTAGATTGTGATGATTCAATCGAAGAAAAAACCGAAGCACTGCAAGGTATACTATCAGAGATCATTGAGAATGTAAGTTTTAAAAATAGTATCGGAATAGCCCCTACTTTTTTTAAATTTCCTCCAGGAAAATAACATAACGCAAGTGTGTAACGAAATAATTGAAATGTACGTTAAATTTAAACCCAAGCAAGCCTCCGGAAATAACGCAGCAATTGAAGATGTTGAAGTTAAACTTGCAAAAATGTTAGAGTCACAATGTTTGGCGACTACAAAGCAAAGGGAATATACAGCTGAAGAGAAAAAGATACGGGAGGCGATTTTATCTCAATACAGTCAAATGAGTGATGAAGAGGATGAACAAAATAATATTTGCACTACTGAGCATAAAGAAAGTTTAGAAAAAAATACCAATGCTTTGTCGGTACATCAAGCTGAAAGGGAAAGAAGAGAGCAAGCTAAATTGGATAGTCAACGAAAAAAGGAAAAGGATAAAGAAGATCGGTAAGATTTGAATAGGAAGAAATTGTTGAAAAATAGTAAAACTTATTTTTGTAGAGAGAAGCAAAAGCAAATGAAAGAGGAGAAAAAGGAGAAAAGAAAAACTGTCAAAGGGGAAAGAAGGAGGTAGCCCATATAGAAACCAGATTAGATCTTTTTTATTTTATTATGTATTGTTTTTAATGGATTAAGAATGTTGATGAAACCCGATAATGCAAAATGTGATTTTAAATTTTTTCGTTTTCATAAATTAATAAATGTGTATTAGTAGTGCAAAGTTTTCTATTTTTTTAAACTAATAATATTAAAAATGAAAAGCAAATTCCTAAATTTGTATTAGTTCAAAAAATTTTTAGATGAAATGTGTATCTTATTAAATAACGCAAAAAAATCAATGAATATAATGTTATTAGTAATTAACAATAATAATATGTTAAATAATTATATTTAAAAGATTATCTTGATAAAGATTCCTATTAAAATGTGTTAAATCATTAGGTAAAATCGAAATTAGCACAAATGTCATCATACAAAAACAAACTAACCTCAAAATAAATTTTTATTAAACGTTATAAAATGTTATAAAAACGTAACTTTTCATTACAACTATATTAGAGGTTATAAATTAGTAATAATGGGAAATGATAAAAAGCGTCGTTCTAGAAGTAGAGAACGCAACGATAAAGAACGTGAAAAACGCTCAAGGTACTCAAGATCTAAAAGCAGGGAAAGACATAAACGCCATAGATCACGATCTAAATCTCGCGAGAGAGATTTAAAATATGACTCGAAATACGAAAAAGATAAATATCAGCATGGAAAATCCGATAGGGATCGTCGCGATGATAGAAATTACGATAAGGATAAGAAGCAAAGAAAAAAGACGCCCAGTCCAACACCGGAAGATACCAAAGAGGAGGTTAAACACGATCCTAATGTCAACCTTAAAAAAGAACCGTTGAGTTTGGAAGAGTTTTTATCGAAGAAAAAAGCGGAAGAAGCCGCTAAAAGTAAAGTAAGTGATTATCACTAATAAATTTGCATAGTTTTAAATTAAATTTATGGAAAAATTCAAGAGTCAGCACGTGGCTTAAAAATTGAGGATTTTTTTTTTAATTAATGTGAAATTACCCAAAAATACGTTAAAAATAAAAAGAAAGTGCGGAATTTAATGAATGAGTGCTTTAAGTCTTATGAAATCTGTTTTTTTCTGCTAGTTTTTGTAATTTGCATTATCCTGTTTTTTTTAATAAAAATAAAATTAATTTTGACAATATAGGGAAATAGGTATGTAGCAGTTGGTAACACCATAACATTTTAAAATAGACATTTAAATTGACAATTAGAAAACACAAAATGTATTCACCACAATAAGAGAAATTGCTCAATTCGATGCTAAGAACACGTTTAAACATCCATAAACAAAAATTGTCACATTGATAACTACTTGTAGAAAAATTAATGACCCAATGTCACCAACTTTAAGTACTTCCATAAAATGTTATTAAAATCTCATTACAACATCAGATAATAGCTTTTCGCGAATTATAAAAAATCACATTAAGGTTTCGTTTTGTGACGTCACAAGCAATGTTAACCATGCATTTTCCTATTAAACTGCTTAACACCTAACCTACAATTGTTTATTTTATAGCCACGCACAAAATCAGTCTGATAAACTTAAAAGTAAAGTTATTTTCACTAAATTAGGTGAGATTGCAACGTATATTTTCGGATGAAACACCCTTGTTTTTCTTAGGCTTTCCATGTATAACGACTGACTACCTGTCGTTAGATAGACTGTGTATCAATAGAGCCTGTGTAAATACTAGAACTAATACTGGACTGAAAACTAGAAACATTTGGATTTAGCCGCACGTCTCTCAAGACGGCTAAACCTGAATGATTCTAGTTCTAGGTCTAGTGTTAGTTCTAGTATTACACTAACACTATCACTAGAACTAACACTAGACCTAGAACTGGAATCATTTGGGTTTAGCCGCACGTCTCTCAAGACGGCTAAACCTAAATGTTTCTAGTTGGTCTAGTGTTAGATCCAGTTTTAGAACTAACACTAGACCTAGAACTAGAAACGTTCGGGTTTAGCCGTCTTAAGAGACGCATGGCTAAACACGAATATTTCTAGTTCTAGTGTTAGTACTACTTCAGACCCAACCCGGAATTTACAACCCACCCTCTGCTTTATGCCCAAACCAACATTTGAGAAATTCGGGTTTCAAACTGGTTTCAATGTTAATTAACCTAACTCAAAGTGAAATTTCTACATAAAATTCTGAAATAAATCAGTAAATTAGGTGGATTCGAATGTAACGTTTAAAGACCGGGTAGGGCATCAGGTATAGATTTTATCATCAGGCTTATCTTTAGTTTATAGATAGTAAACAACGACTAAAATGTCGTGGAAAACCTAAGAAACAACCGTATTTCACCCGAAAATATGAGTTTTAACCACATATGCTGCGAAAATATATGGTTAGCACCTTTAAAGTGATGTTTCAGTAAGTTTTACACTTTTCCGCACTTTTTTTTGTTTATAATGGCTTACTTGAGTGATTTTCCGTCGATTAAAAAAAAATTGTCGATTTTTAAGCGACGTGATAATACTTGAATTATACCAAATTTATTCTTAGCCGGTATTTCTTACGAAAGAACAAAGAGCAGCGGAAGCTATAAAAAGGAGACAAGAAGAAATTGACAAGCTACGGAAAGTTCATGATGCAGAAAGAAAAATTATTGATGATATTCAAAAATCGCGGTTGGAGGAAGCTAAAAGAGAAGATCGTGAACATCGGTAATTAATTTAATATAAATAAATTTTTAACTTAACTTGATTATAAATTAATAGGAGAAATCGTGAACGCGATACAAAAGAAGAAGACAAACAAAAAGATAAAGACAAAGAACGTGAAACGGAAGCGATTAAAGAACGTTATTTAGGAATCGTAAAGAAAAAAAGACGTCAAAGACGTTTAAACGATCGGAAATTTGTTTTCGATTGGGATGCAGGTGAAGATACATCGAACGATTATAATTCTTTGTACAAAGAAAGACATCAAGTACAATTTTTCGGTCGTGGAAATTTAGCCGGGATTGATATAAAAGCGCAAAAACGCGATCAAAGTAAATTTTATGGGGAACTTTTAGAGAAACGTCGCACGGAAGCGGAAAAAGCCCAAGAAAAAGTACGGTTAAAGAAGGTTAGAAGAAAGGAGGAGAAACAACTTTGGGATGATCGTCATTGGTCGGAAAAAGATGTTGATGAAATGACCGAAAGGGATTGGAGAATATTTAGGGAGGATTACAACATTACCATTAAAGGTGGAAAAATACCTGAACCAATAAGAAATTGGAAAGAATCCGGGATACAAAAAGAGTTATTGGATATCGTTGATAAAGTTGGATATAAAGATCCAACTCCGATTCAGCGACAAGCGATTCCTATTGGGATGCAAAATCGGGATATTATTGGTGTTGCAGAAACTGGTTCAGGAAAAACTTTAGCTTTCCTCATCCCTCTATTATCTTGGATACAATCTTTACCGAAAATTGAAAGAAATGAAGACGCCGATCAAGGTCCTTACGCAATCATTTTAGCACCAACTCGTGAATTGGCACAACAAATTGAAGAAGAAACACAAAAATTTGGTCAACCACTTGGTATTCGTACAGTGGTTGTTGTTGGTGGTTTAAGCAGAGAGGAACAAGGTTTTAGATTACGAATGGGTTGTGAAATCGTTATTGCAACCCCCGGTCGTCTTATTGATGTCTTAGAAAATCGATATTTAGTACTAAACCAATGTACATATATCGTACTTGATGAAGCTGATCGTATGATCGATTTAGGTTTTGAACCCGACGTACAAAAAATCTTGGAATATATGCCGGTAACAAATTTAAAACCCGATACAGAGGAAGCTGAAGACAGTAAAATTTTATTGGCGAATTATAACAGCAAGAAAAAATATCGCCAAACGGTGATGTTTACAGCTACAATGCCTCCTGCTGTTGAGAGATTAGCTCGCACTTATTTGAGAAGACCCGCTGTTGTTTATATCGGTAGCATTGGTAAACCTGTTGAAAGAGTTGAACAAATAGTTCATATCATGGGCGAAAACGATAAGAGAAAGAAATTGATGGAGTATTTGAACCGCGGAATTGAACCTCCGATTATTATTTTCGTTAATCAAAAGAAAGGAGCCGACGTTTTGGCTAAAGGCTTGGAAAAACTTGGCCACAACGCTTGCACTCTTCATGGTGGCAAAGGACAAGAACAGAGAGAATACGCTTTAGCCAGTCTTAAATCGGGAGCTAAAGATATTTTGGTTGCCACCGACGTAGCTGGAAGAGGTATTGACATCAAAGATGTTTCGATGGTTATTAATTATGATATGGCTAAAACAATCGAAGGTAATATCTATTTTAATCTCAATTTTGGAATTTTAATTTATTTTTTGTAGATTATACCCATCGTATTGGAAGAACCGGCCGTGCAGGAAAAACCGGTATCGCTGTTAGTTTTTGTACTAACGACGATTCGGCTTTGTTCTATGATTTGAAACAAATGTTACTTTCATCACCCGTTTCAACGTGTCCACCCGAATTAATGAATCATCCTGAGTGTCAAATGAGACCTAATCAACCCAAAAGGAGAAGAGATGAAATGATTTTTGCATAAAATTATACATGAAAAAAAATAATATTTTTAATGTGATTAAGTTAAGAATGTATTTCAAGATATATTTCAAATAGACATCCATTTGAATGCTTTGTAACAATAAAAATGTGTAAGATGTTTTATTTGGTTATCATTTGATTTATTGGAAAGTTGTAAAATTTGTTATAAGTAGGAAGGCTTTTGTGGTCGGTTGAATTAAAAGTAAGTCTAGACTGAGAACTAAAAATATTTGGGTTTAGCTACGCGTCGCTTAACTCTTACTGGTGCAGTGGTACAAAAAATAAACCACCTAAATTTTCACCCAACTGACGCAGTGCTCTCTAATGTATATTAAATTTATCAACAAATGTATTTCTCTGCAGGAAATGTCAGGCAATGACGATCTATCATTTCGTCTAGTAAGAATGAGTCGAGACGATCTTGAGCGTGACTTGGAAAAATACCTATACGATTATTCTTTGCAGTTTGGTGACGAGTCCGATTTAGGGGATATAATGAAGATATAATTACAAGTATTGATATTTATTCCAGTGAAAGTGATTCAGATGACAACAAACCTTTATCTGTAGTTCAAGCAAGAAATAAAAAAAATAAAAAAAACGTAAAACGGAGACTTTCTTCACCTCATCCTTTTGACGAAATAATCAACTCAAATCCGACACCATATTCTCTGTTTCAACTATTTTTCGGCGAAAATTTTATAAATCATATAGTTTTTCAGACAAACTTATATGCTGAACAAGAACAAATGCGTACTGGAAAAGATTACAGGAGAACGACGAAATAAGTGCCTTTTTCAGAATAAATTTACTTATGGATGTTAAGTGAAGTATTAACCTTGGACGAGTCGTTGATCAAATTTAAAGGTAGAAGTGTGCTAAAACAGTATATGCCTAAGAAACCCATAAAGGCATATCCCATATGGGACAAAGCCTAAGTTCTAGGGTTGTGTACAAACTTACTGATGGCCTTGAACAAGAAAACCATACAATATTTTTTGATAATTTTCTTAACAATGTGGAACTAATGCAAAATTTAAAGCAACGTGGTATAGTATTATAAGTATTAACCTAATATTAAAACGGGCAAGCAGTTCCAAAGAGGTGAATTCGACTGGTACACAAGTGATACAAAACCATTTGCAGTAAAATGGAGAGATAAAAGGTCCGTTTATCACAATTTTCACACTCCTGAAAATTGCATGAAAGGTAGTAGAAGAGAAAAAATAGAAATATGTTGTAGATTATAACGCCAACATGAACAGTGTCGATGAATTCGATCAACTTTTAGCTAGCTACTAAATAGATCGTCAAAGCAACGAATGATGTCATTATATATTTTTCTACTTAGAAAGTAGAAAATATAAAACAATGAATCTACCTGATGGATTGTAGCCCCAGTTTTAGTATCTAATTCCACAAGGACTAAGAAATCAGGACCTAAAATACAAATTAAAAAATCGAAGCCGTTTGTACGAGAGAATATGCGATTCAATTCTGTTACGCATCAACCTAAACGTGGAACAAGAACAAGGTGAACCCGAATGATTCTAGGTCTAGTGTTAATTCTTGTTTTGTATCATTACAACTAACACTAGACTTAGACCTAGAAACATTCGGGTTTAGCAATGCGTCTCTTAAGTCGGCTAAACCGTGTTGATGGTTTTAGGTCTGGTATTAGTTCTAATCTAGCACATAATGCTACAGTTGTTAGCGAATTTTTAAATACAAACTTTGGCAATTATTTGATACATCATTCTCCATCATAGTATGTATAGTTCTCACAACATTAACTTTTAAATACATACATAAATATTAGTGTTAGATAGAACAAAAAGAATTTTTGTTCTATCTAACTTATTAAACTTATTAAACTTAATTATTCAATAACTATAAGAAATATACCCAACAAACTATATATTATATTTGTTATCAGAAGAAAATAACAAATTATTTTAGGTCATAGCCAACTATGGTTTCCATTTAAAAAAATAAAGTTACTTCTAAAATCTCGGAAATAAAAGATGGGAAAAAATTCTACCTACGCCACTGAATTCTTCGTAAAAAGTTGCCCATATAATGTTTTATTTAAAATACTCCATCTTTGATAATAAGTGAGATATTCGCGATTGTCGTTTTCGCAAAATTTTCAATTTTTGACGATAGGTCGATAGCTGTTCGCAGTTTTCGGTATTAGCATTTTCTCGAAAAACGGGATCATGACATGTAAGCTACTTTTTTTTCTATCTCTTTTAGTTTCGGAGATAGCCTATGCGGATAACGAAATTGGGACACCTGTATATATGCTTTGATGAAATATCATATGATTTCAACCTATACAGGGTGGTTCAGTTTTTAATCGGGAAACTTTACTAGGATGTAGTACTTGCCAAAATAACACAAATTTTTTATATAAACATAGGGTCGCAATTCTTTTGTTTTCGAGCTATGAGCGATCAAAGTTGAGAAAAAAATTTACATTTTGTTTTGTATTTCGGCTGCAAGTAAACCGTAGAATTTGAAACTTTGTACGTATGTACTACTGGTTAAGAACTTATTTTCGACCATACCTTAAACTTCCCCAGCGCCTTCTTAGGGGATGAAATTCACTACCCCCTTGTTTTTTTTATAACAACTTTTTAACGCTATGGAATATGAACATAAAAAAATATGGGTTGTAAAGCTCACTCTTTAGTGGTACTTTTTTGTCTCTTTAGTATTTTCCTTAAAGTTAATAGTTTCCGTGTAAAAAAATAAAATATCGTGCCATGCACTGCTATGTGCCGCCATGTTTAGCCAAAATTATTCTAAAAGTTTGCTCTGAGAACTTGTAAGTTTCATTTACAGTGAATCCTCATAATTATTGCTGGTTATTAATAATTTTTGACGGTTATTAAGCCAGAGTATCAATTTTTTAATATTGTTTAAAACAACGTAATTTGTTCAGACAGGCATTAATCTTATTTATGGTTTTTCTTATGAAAATCACAATTAATTGGTGTTATTTAGTTAGTACTAGATCCTAGTAAGTGCACAACTTCCATAGCCACCTATAAAGAAAAATTTTTTTTAATAATAGCAGCGCTTTACAGTACAATGTAGCATATTTTATTTTTTTACGTTAAAACTATTATTTTTAAGGAAAAAACTAAAGAGAGAAAAAAGTACTAGTAATGAATAAGCTTTACAACCCATATTTTTCTTTGTTAATATTCCATGGCGTTAAGAAGTTGTTATAAAAAAATCAAAGGGGCTGTGAATTTCATCTCCTTAGAGGGCGCTAGGGAAGTTTAAGGTATGGTTGAAAATAAGATATTAACCAGTAGTACATACATACCAAATTTCAAATTCTATGGTTTACTCATACCCGAAATAAAAGATAAAATGTAAATTTTTGGCTCAACTTTGACAGCTCATAGCTCGAAAACAGAAGAGTTGCGACCCTATGTTTATATAAAAAAACTTGTTTATTTTGGCAAGTACTACGTCCTAGTAAAGTTTCCAGATTAAAAACTGAACCACCCTGTATAGGTGTACCTGAATGACTACAACAAATTTCTAGAAAAATAAAATTTGGAGAATATGTTCAACTCATAATAGGGCTCATAAATACAATATAATTAACAATAAGAAAACCACTGACATTTAAACGTCAAAAATATTTCTGTCAAAGATTGCAAAGCCTACTAAGATTTTTCATTAAAAATTCACTCTAACTTTCGATTAACAACCCTACAGCTTAACAATTAGTGTTTGCTTAATTATTTTTCTTCTCAGAAATTATGAAATTTTAAAAGAACATCAGAGAGACAAAAAAATTTTAGAATAATTTTATCTAACTGAAATTTTTCCAATGTTTATCATTTATCATCTTCATAAAAAAAATCTAGGCAAAAATTGAACGGGGGTGGTTACGTTTAGTAGTTTAGAAGTGTAGGTTGAAAGTATAAATAGGGTGCTCTATTATGAGTTAAACATATTCCCCAAATTTCATTTTCCTAGCGTTTATGGTTTTTGAGAAAAAAAAATTTAACCAAAATTTTCCCCAATTTTTGGAATGTCATATATTAAAGTACCCTTAAAATTCACTAAAGAATCACCCCTTGAAATTTGTTGCAGTCATTCAGATACACCTGTATATGACCTTAAAATCGTATTCTTAAAGAAACTAAAAAAAAACTTTGTTCCAGTTGAGCAAAATTTTATGTTAAACACTTGCTCCAGTTAAAAGTTAAGACAACTAAATCCCTATGAATTACATAAAAAAAATATAGATAACAGTTACGCATGTTTATAATTTATATCAACGACCTTTGCTCATGGTCGTATAATACGATAACAATCAGCAATTTTTCCGCCTAACTTGTTTTATTACCACACATTTTTTGCTTAAAATTTAACCTCTAACATTTACAAATAACAAAAAAAATCTCATTTAAATAATTTCAATTTTATTACAATTAATACAAATCATAATAATAAAGTACCACATCAATTAATATAAAAAAAATTAATAAAAATCTTATAAAGACTCGATCATAATGGCAATTCCTTGCCCACCACCAATACAAGCTGAGCCAATACCATATTTAGCGTTTCTCCTCTTTAATTCGTACACCAAATGGGTCATAATTCTAGCTCCTGACATACCAACAGGATGACCCATGGAAATCGCCCCACCATTAACATTCAATTTATTCAAATCCAATTTTAATTCTTTGGCACAAGCTAAAGTTTGGGCGGCGAAAGCTTCGTTGATTTCGACCAAATCGATTTCATCCAAAGATTTCCCGGATAATTTCAAAACGTTTTGAATCGCTGGAACTGGGCCAATACCCATGATGGATGGGTCAACACCCACATAAGAATAAGCAACGATTCTTGCGAGAGGTTTTAAATTGTAATCTTTAATAGCTCCTTCATTAGCAACAACAACAGCTCCTGCACCATCACAAATTCCTGACGCAGAACCAGCAGTTACCAAGCCATTTTCTTTAAATAAACTTGGTAATTTAGCTAACCCTTCGAGTGTAGTTTGGGGTCTTGGGTGCTCATCAACTTCAACAAGAACTTTTTTTCCTTTAAAAGTAATTTCAACTGGGGCCATTTCCTGTTTGAATCTTCCGTCTTTTTGGGCGGCGACGTAATTCATTTGGGATGCTAAAGAGAATTTATCTGCATCTTCTCTTGTAATTTTACATTGGGCCCCTAATTTTTCAGCTGTTAAAGCCATAGGTAATTTGCAATATGTATCAGTTAATCCAAGCCATAAAGAATCTTCCAAAACTGGGCTTACCCCCAAAGTTGTTCCAAATCGGATATTACGAACATTGTGAGGACTTTGGGACATATTCTCAGTTCCTCCTGTAAGTACCAATTTTGAAGCCCCAGCTGTAATTTCTTGCACCCCGTTTACGATAGATTGAAATCCAGATCCGCATAATCTATTTACGGATAAACACGGCTTTTGAATTGGAACTCCACTTCTTAACGCGGCGTGTCTAGCGCAAAAAGCACCATCGGAGGATGATCCAGCGTTTACGTTTCCAACGATGACGGAATCTACCATGTCGGGGCTAACATTTGCCGAAGCTAAAGCTGCTTTAAAAGCGGTCGTTTGGAGATCGGCTATGCTTTTTTTCACAAATTTTCCTCCATAAGTACCGATTGGAGTGCGTTTAGCACCCACGATAAAAATATCTTTCACTAAAGAACTCATCTTTTCACTTATTTTTAAAAAACTGAACGAAACTGAGTGGGTCAAACAATTTTATCGTTGAGTTGTTATCAATTGGGTTTAAAGTACATCTAAAATTGTAACTTTCTGCACCTCGATAAACAAAATCAACGTTGATAAGGATAACGTGTCTTACCGATTTTAAATGGATGAGTGATTAATTTATTGATGTTGATCCTGTATGAGATGATCGATTTATTTTGAGATAAATAGATTTAGAAGACACGTTTTTATTTGGGGAACTCAACAGGTGGTGTGTGGGTACATGGAACAAAGTTTATTTTATGGTTTTAATATTTGCTGATAGATTGCGGGTAATTATAGGAAACTGTATATTTTTTAGGCAACCAAATCGACTTTTATACAATAAACTTAAAAAGGAAATAAAAAAAAACTTACAATAACATCCTTAATTTGGTTCTTGTTAAATTGAGCAGCACTAATTTTAGCAAAACTTCTTTCTTTTTACTTTCATTCTTCATCAATCTTCATTATTTTCTTAAATCTTATCCTTTTTTTCTTAATATACACCTTTTCTAATGTACACCACTTCAGGTTTGCGTCTTTTAAGTCGACTAAACCAGAATGATTCTAGTTCTAAGTTTAGTGATAGTGTTAGTTCTAGTTTCAGTTTGTTGTATATTTTTATTGAACTAAAACTAGAACTAGCGTTAGACTTAGAATCATTCGGATTTAGCCGTCTTTAGACACGTGAGGCTAAACCCAAACGATTCTAGTTCTTGGTGTAGTGTTAGTTCTATATAATAACAGTGTTAGTGTAAAACTAGAACTAACACTATACCTAGAACTAGAATCATTCGGGTTTAGCCGTCTTTAGAGACGTGAGGCTAAACCCAAATGTTTCTAGGTCTAATGTTAGTTCTAGTGACAGTGCAAGAGTAAAACAAGAACTAACACTATACCTAGAACTAGAATCGTTCGGATTTTGCCGTCTTTAGAGACGTGAGGCAAAACCCAAATGATTCTAGTTCTAGTTTTAATTGTTATTCAGTGCAAGGTTGTTGTATATTCTTATTGAACTAAAACTTGACTTAATACAGGAAACATTCGGGTCATCAAAACTTCTTTTTTTAATATTCTTAGTGTTCCCCTAAAAATAAATTTAAAATAAAAACACCAAAATAATCAAACGATCCATTAAATTTCTTTCTGCATAATCATTACCTTATAATACAACTTAAAATTATTTCATTTTAATTCATCAACTTCTTTATATTTGAATAAACACAATCAATCTTCATTATCTTCTTAAATCATAACCTTTTTTTTCTTAATATACACAATAAAAAAATATATTACAAATGCATTATTTACAACCAACGCAAATTACTTGAATACTCAAAAAAAAGGGTCTTAAAAAGTACAAAATGTTACTCTAAAATTTTATAACTCCCAACGAGTGTATTTAAATTAATTTTTTTTTTACACCGTTATAAGTTGACCAGAACACCATGGGCAAGGATGAAAATTTTCTAAACCATTCGATTGAACCAAACTGCTCGTTTTAATTTCGCTCAACAACTCAATAATTTTCTCAGCCGTTTTCGTGTTGTTATTAAACTCTTTGTTACCCGCTTTCGATTCCATTTCTTGATGAACTTTAGCGTGCTCCAAACAAAGTTGAGATTTATCCACGGTTTGGTGTTGTAACGCGTCCAAAGCGATATCATCCCTCTCAATCATCAATCGATTAATCAAATTATTTAATTGATCAATTTTTTGTTTCATATGTTCTTTATCAATGGCAAGTTGTCGCATTTCTTCTTCTTTTTCTGACGTTCTTTGTTTTAAAACACCCCTTTGATGTTGGTATAACGTGACATATTCTCCAATTGTTTCAGTTTCATCTTGAAGTTGTAAAACTAAATGTTCTAATCGTTGCTTTTCATCCTCTAAATTCGCAATTTCCTCCATCATTTTCGTAAATTTTATTTCTAATTGTTTCATTGCATCTTTTTGGGAAATATTTTCGTTATCTAATCCCTCAATATTTGTGTTATTTACCCCATCAATTTGTGTAGAGAGTTTTAATTCTAATTCTTTATTAATTTTTTCTAAATTTTCAATTTTATTTAAAAGTGATTGGGAAGAATTTTCCGATTTTTCTTCATTTTCCTCAACTTTACTTTCTTTTTCAATTAATAACTTATTAAATTTACCCTCGAGATTATTCATATTTAGTTTTAGACTATTATTTTCGGTTGTTAATGTTTGCAATTTCATATAAGACTGTTGTAATTCGTGTTGTAAAGCGTGTGTACTATGATCGTGAGCCTCATAATGCCTCAATCTATCTTCCAATTGATTCTGTTGGACCACAAATCGATTCATTTCCGCTGCGCTTTCTCGTAACGAATACATTTCTTTATCTTTTATAGCTATAGCATCGGATAATGTGTGTATTTGAGATTCTAAATGACCCAATTGGTCTTCAGCTTCTTTCGTTTTATGTTTTGCGTTACTTAATTGTTCAGCCAATTCTAATTTTTCGTTACTCTGCAATAAAAAATAACAAAACAAATTAATTAATTAAATAGGTCTTTACTTACTAGGGAGAAGAAAGAAGGAGGAGAGAGAGAGATAGAGGAGGTGAGAGAATTCATATCTGGGGTATAGGGATCCTCACAGCGCATGTGAGGGAGATGGCTAAAAGGGCAAATAAAGTGATGGGGCAGCTCTGGGGATGGGATGAGAGAGTGTTTGGAGGTAACTTTACAAAGATTATGTTTGATGGCTTGGTGAGGAGTGCAATGATGTATGGAGCGGAAGTTTGGGGATGGATGAGGCAGGATATTCTAGAGAACGTACAGAGAGGAAGTGAAAGATGATGAAATGAGGGTGGAGGCGGACAGAAGAGCAGTTAAATATGAAGGAATAATGGATAGAAGACCATACTGGGGGAGTGTTGGAAAGAAGTTAGAGAGGGGAAGATGAGATATGGTATAGGAGAGAGGAAGGAATATTACAAAAGGACGGATTATTCAGAGGCAGGGATAAATAACAGAAGAAGGAAACGCGTGGTGATGTGGGAGGAGATAAGCCACAGGGATAGGTAAATAAATTTTTGAATAAAGTTATACGTCAATGTGACACAAATTCAATGTTACTAACTGTAACCAACTTCACAACAATTTGTCAAAATTAAATGTCAATTTTATAAAACGAAAATTCGTTTCTTTACGAAAATTAATTAATTTATGCTTAAATCATACGAAAAAAGGAATTTGTTTAGGTTTTTTTAATGACAAACATTTAGAAACTCCTAAAAAATGAAATTAAATTGACGTTTTTTGAAATTTTAACGTTTCAAATAATTATTATTAGTCTGTCAAGTTGGTTACTCGTGAATAATGATTATAATTCACCGCTATTATTCACTCCGTGAAAAATGACCACCGTTTTGTTTTAGAAAACTCATTCATAAGGTATATATTATAAGTTATAAGGTAGTAGTGGACAAAAGTGATATATTACAGTTTAAGCAATGTCTTGGCGCCATCTAGCGGCGAATAGATGTAACTAATAGAGAAATTTACAGTAACCTACAATTCGTGTTGAAAATGCTATAATTTTACTTTAATTTTATTAACACTAATTATTATATTATTTTTGTAATAAAATCGTGAGAAGTACATGTCAAATCGTGAGATTAAAGGTAATATTATGAGCAACCTTGGCTAGAACATATGTTGAGGAGATGTAGTGAGCTGAAAGGAACTAGTGGAAGATTCTGGAAGAGGGGGAGAATGGATGAGGGAATGTAAGGGGGGTGATAAGGGAAGTTAAGTTTAATTTGTCATGTATTGTACAAAAAATTGTAAACTTTTAGTACAATAAAACCTCATATATACTTACAATTTTAATAAAAGCATTTTGCATTTCGGTTAATTGGCTTTTTAATTCTTCATTTTGTGCAACAGCTCGAGACGCGGCGACTTTATCGCTTTCCATTTCAGCTAATAATTTAACGCTATCAGGTTGATTATTCCTCAAATGCGAAACCATATCCTCCAATTGCATCATTTCATCCCGTTTTAGCTCCAATTCCTTAAAAACTTCGTCCCGTTCTCCTTTAACCTCCACATAAGATTCCTCTAAAAGCTTCTTTTCGTCCTCAATTTTCCTCAAACATTCTTGTAATTCGATTAATTCGACTCCACTGTTAGAGTGTGGTTTTGAATGAATTTGATTTTGATCTTCTTGCATTTTTTGGAGCAACATTTCCAATTCGACCATTTGATTGGTGAGGTCGCGTTCTCTTCCGATTAACGATTCATTTTCGCGGATTTTTTCTTCTAGTTTTTGGGACAAATTATTTAATTGTCCATTTAATTGTTGGACATATTGTTGGTATTGAATGGCAGCTTGTTCTTTTTCGTTGGATAAATTTTTAATTATGTTTTGTAATTCGAAATTTTGTTTTTCATACCCTTGAAGTTGAAGTGATAAATTTTCCATTTGAAAATTGTTTTGGGTATCCCCCGAAGTAACTTGTTGAAGCTTTATATTAAGCAAAGATAATTGAGAGGTTAACTCTTGAATTTCCATCCTTAATTTAGCATTTTCTGAGCTACTTGTATTTAATTTTTGTTGCAATTCTGAAATATCTTGTTGCATCTCATCCCTTTGACCTCTTAAAGTGGCACATTCATTTAATGTTTCAACATATTTCTCGTTTTCCTCAACAGGAATATTATTTCGAAGCTTGCTTTCTTTTAAAAGGGTTAATTCTCTCTCTAAATCAGCCACGCGTGATCTCGACGTTTTTAATCGAGCGTTTAATTCGCCACATTCCGTTAATTTTTCTTTTAATTCGGTGTCTCTTTGAGCAACAATTTTATCTAAATCACTTTTTTCTGCAACTAGAAACTTTACTGTTTGTTCATGACGTTCAATCTCATCTAATAATCCTTGTTTTTCATCTGATGGCATTTGTTGTTTTTGATAAAAATCATTTTCTAGATAATTAACTTTTTCGCGATAAATCTTTAATTCTTCCATTAAATTATTATTCCGAAACTTTTCTTCTTGCAATAACGTCAAAGTTTCTGCATACTTTGATTCTAACTCACGATTACTTTGCAAAATACCATCCGGAACTGAATTATCATCAATTAATTGAATAATTTGAGTCGAAAGTTGCTTTAAACTCTCCATATTCCCTTCAACTTTCCCATTCTCTTCTTTAACATCACCCACATCCACTTGATTATCATTTTTTAAGTAATCATTTAATTGGATTGCATCTTCAATAGTCACATGATTATGTTTATGTAAATTATCATAAATCTCATTGGGTTTAATTTCCGGGTCATCATAACTTAAAGAATCCTCAACAGATTGAAAATATACATTTGTATTCACTTGATTTGTCTCCTTATCAACATTTTTGTTAAAATTAACATGATCAAAACTATAAAAATCTTGATTCCCTTGTGATGGTACATTATTATGTGGAATATTGTCGAAAAAACTTGCTGTTGTTGGTTCTTGATGTTGTCCCCCACTAAAATATTGTTGTAAGGGTGAAGAACTGTGACTTTGAAATTGATCGGCTTCATCAATATGTGGGGCTTCATTTAGTGAACTATGAGTTGAATTTGTTAAACTATCTCCGGGGGTACTTTTCGATTTTTTCGTCTTTTGATACTCCTTTACCTACAAATAACGCATAATTTTTTATTAATTTATAAACAATACATTTTTAAATCACTATTGTTGTTTTGACAGATGATGATGTGGCCAACAAAAAAAATTAATTAAAATAAAACAACGCCAGTAACACTAATAAAAAAATTAAAATTACATTTATTAATCCCTATTAAAGCTATATATTAATTTTGGTAAATAGTCAAACAATTACCAGCTTTTTCGCAGCCAAAATTCGCTGAGCTTTAGTGGCGTCCGCCATCTTGAACTGTCAAAACATTTTATTATTACAAGATTGCCAACTTTTAAATAATAATTTTTTTTTTAAATATAGGTTATAATTTTTTTATGGAAAATAAAATCAATAATTTTCATAAAAGTAATTTAATTAGAAATTATCGTATAAACCCAATAACTGTTTCATCCATAATTAAGCAGTATCCATAAGCGAATCAGGTTCAATATGATGAACAGTTTCAGTAACTTCCAATGGAATAACTTTGGTAGCCAAAGTAGCGCTAGTTCCCTTCGGGAATCGATAATTCCCTTGACGAACCCCCTTTTTATTCGCTTCATCATAAGTACGCAAATAATCAACAGAACCTTTGCGAATAACACACAAATCAACATTAGAACCTGACCCTAAATCATTAAAAATTCCTGCGGCAATGGCATCTCGAACAAGTTGCTTTCCCTCTTCTTCAGTTAACCCTGGTTTCCAACGTGACTCAAAAACGGCCATTGCAGCAAGAGAACCTGAACCCATTGTAGTATAGGGTAATTTATCTGTTGAGCCGTGAGGATAAATCGAGAATAAATGGGGGCCTGTTGGGTCTACGCCTCCTAATACTAAAGCAGCCCCAATATAGCCTTGATATCTAAAGAGAAATTGTTTTAACATTTGATTTGCAGTGCAAACTGGGACGACGCGGTTAGTAAAAAGACGATGCAGTTCTAATTGAGACGATATCATATTTGTGGTCATTTCCGTATCAGCTGCTGTTCCAGCACCGCAACAACTAAAAATAAATTCTTTGTCAAATACACATCACTCTTACACTCAAAAAAATACTTACTACATATTTGGGGCTAAATAATGTATCTTCGCGCAATTTTTATCTGAGACGGTGGTGTCTTCTGTTGCTCTAGTATCAGCGCCTAATATAACCCCATCGGCAAATATAATTCCAGCAATTGTTGTTCCCGTTTTAGTCGCTTTTGGGACGGGGAAACCCTTACCTTCCAAAGCGGCATTTCTAAAAGATTATTAAATGACTTGTTAGATTTATTAAGGTATTTCTTATTTACCTGGAGCAATTATCAAAAGAAAACCCGGCGGGGGCTATTTCAGGACACAAAACTGATGCCATTTTCAAATTAACGTTTTTCACAATGAGACAACAAAATACTAACTGTCAAAGATTTGAGGTTAGTTTACACATGTCAAGTGTGAAGTTGGTTGTTTTCGAATTATAAAAAAAATTATAAAAATTATTATTTATTTTATTTTAAAACGTTAATTTAAAAAAAAATGATATTAATTATAATTAATTAAATATTTGTTATATTTTTTAAATATAATTAATAAACACCAAAAAAAAGGGACACCAACCTAAATAATTTAATGATTTTTTAAAGTTGTAAAATTGTTAAATTAATTTTTATTTAAGAAAAAGATTATTTATAAGAACATTTGATTAATTTTGTAAATAATTATTAATATTTAGAAATAAATATTTTTAATTTAATGAAAGTAGGTGAAGTTGTATTGATCGCCTGCGCGGTTGTTAACTGTCAGATTCAAGGTCGGAAATTGCAATCGATTTTTAGGTTAGTCGTTGAAGAGATGCCCCCGGTTGACGTCATTATTGGTGCGACATGACAACAAAAGCAAAATGTAAAGTGGATTCGGATGGCAGCGTATGCTTAGAAGACATCCTCACCTCTTTTAATTCATCAGTACGCGAAGAACACGCCTGGGCCCTCTGCTATCAGTGCGCCAAGTTCTTCCTGGAATCAGGTCAGCATTCGGCCTACCATAATATCACAGACGTAGACCAGGTTTACTTCCAAACAGATGGTAACATACACCCAAACACACGCTTGGGAAAGACACCCGACAATAACAGACGCGTTTGTAGCGAGCAGGAACTAGTGACCAGTTTGGGTGTTGTGATTTACAATGCTTTGGACAAGGGTTACGATGCGGACGAAGAGCGATCCATTTCGCAGGATCTCAACACGCTCATAAATGATATGATAACGGATGACCACAATTTGAGCCATCACGAAACAGACGATGAAGGTATAGAACGAGACTCTGAAGAGGCAGACGAAAGTAGCACATCCAGAGTTTCACAGCATATCACATTAACGCAAGTAATCGCAAGGTGCGAGAGGCACTTAGCTAGTTTAACCAAATCTCAAGCTGAATCACATTATCGCGCTGTAGTTAGAGCACTTGTAGCTGAAGCAATTGAATTGTCTACATTTTTGGAAAAGGTTGCTCAAGATACTAGTAATTTAGTTGAGGGAACTGGCAATCGAGATTTGGAACAATTAAAATTTGCCGATTGGGCTAGGTAAGAATAAAATTGATTTAAAAAGATTGGAAAAAATATTTTTAATTTTTTTGATGTCTATTTAGAATAAATTGGTTTTTGTTTGATTAATATTTATCTGTAAATTGTTTTTGTTTGCTTTTCCCATATCTTTTGTAGAATAAATAAATGCTTTATTCTAAATGCTACAATCAAAATATTTGGGGTGTACTTTATTACTGAAGATATTATATTATTTTTTGATATTAATCTAAAAAACACTATTTTGATGTTTTCAACATCAGTGTAGGTTATATCTGAAAATTGTTATTAGAAAATATTCTGTAATATCAACAAAAACATTTTCCATAATCGTTTCTGTTCCAGCATTGACTATTTTGAACCTAATTGATTATAATATAAAAAATTGATATTTTGACGTTTTAAACATCAATTTAGGTTATAACTCAAAAACTAAAAGTGAGGGAAAAAAGTTTTATTATTAGAAAATATTCTGTAATATCCCAAGAAACATTTTCCGTAATCGTTTCTGTTCCAGCATTGACTATTTCGAACCTAATTGATTATAATATAAAAAAATCGCTATTTTGACGTTTTAAACATCAATTTAGGTTATAACTCAAAAACTAATCGTAAGGGAAAGAAGTTTTGTTATTAGAAAATATTCTATAATATGCCCAAAAACATTTTCCATAATCGTTTCTGTTCCAGCATTGACTATTTCGAACCTAATTGATGATAATATAAAAAAATCGCTATTTTGACGTTTTAAACAACAATTTAGGTTATATCTCAAAAACTAAAAGTGGGGGAAAAAGTTTTGTTATAAGAAAATATTCTGTAATATCCCAAGAAACATTTTCCATGACCGTTTCTGTTCCAGCATTGACTATTTCGAACCTAATTGAGTATAATATAAAAAAATCGCTATTTTGACGTTTTTAACCAATTTAGGTTATAACTCAAAAACTAATCGTAAGGGAAAGAAGTTTTGTTATTAGAAAATATTCTGTAATATCCGAAGAAACATTTTCCATAATCGTATCTGTTCCAGCATTAACTATTTCCAAGGTATTTGACTATAATCTAAAAAATCCCATTTTGATTCAGTGAATACTGAGTATTTTTTATTTATTATGTTTAACTCATCAAGTTATTACTCATATTTAATTATATTGGTGGTTCAGAGTTATTAATATGATGTTAAAACAATGATAAGAACGTTAGTAATGAGTTATTTTTAGTTCTACTTATTATTTATGTTTTTTATGTCATGATTTTGAATATGTTTTTGATTTCAAGGTTATTAAAAAAATCCTAATCTCTTTAAACTTTATTTTTTGTTAATATGTGCAATTTTAGGATGAATAAACTTGTTTCTTATCAAAGAAGCAACTAAGAAGAGAGATTATTTTCTCATTAAAAATCATTTTTAAAAATACGTTTATTTTTTCGAAATTTTTTCACTTTGTTTTGATCCATCATCCATTGACTGATAGATGGCCATCTGTAGGTTTGAGCTCCTGGGTGACCTATTCTTTGCAGAGATGAACCATATTTCAACGACATCAAGAGTTACGAAGCTGAGGTCACTTGCGACGGATGCATAACTTCGATACCATGTAAAGATTAAAAACATTGCAGTTCCACTATCGAAAATTTCGCGAAATTTGCGAGCGGTTTTAGAGTCTCAAATTTCAGTGCTATTATTTGCTCAGAAAAAAAAATGGGACAAAAACTGGGTCAACTTTCTTAAAAAGCTGATTTCTCAATTTAAACTATAACTACTCAAATTAGAAATGTTTAACAATTTGTTTTTTGTTTAAGATTTTGGGTCCAAGTAATCCAAGAGCTTCGTAAAGGTGTAAAATTAAAGAAAGTGAATTGTAGTCGAGCACCGATAGAATACGAACTCACTCCATATGAGATATTAATGAACGATATTAAATCATGTCGTTACAGTCTCAGGAAGATAATGGTCGATGGAAACGTGCCGTCACGCGTTACTAAAGACGCTCACGCTATTATACTCGAATTCATACGCTCAAGACCGACATTGCGCAAAGTCTCCGAAAGGAAATTACCACCGCACACAAGAACGCTTACCCCAAGGGAACAACTCATGAATTCAATACGTAAAGGACGCACGTTGCGTAAAACGCATACAGTTGCAAAAGACGGCCCCGTTGTTGGGACGGTTAAAGAACCGGAAGAAAAGAAAACGCGAAAATTAATCAAAGTTGATTTTTCTAAATTAGATGATGACGACGATGATATTTCGGATACGTCCGATGGTTATTGGCAAGAAGAATTTAATCAAGTTTATGAAAACGTGGTTGAAGCTTACGATTTAGCTTTACAGGGGCCGGCTCCTAAACCACCGGGAAAACGACATTTAAACGTTTATAACGATCAATTTGAAAGTTATTCAGTTCCGCAATCCAGACCAGGTTCAAGACAATCCTGTACGAGCTCTGACGCGGAATCTGTACAATTAACGCCGGAAATCGCTCAAGCAGTTCAAGATAACAACACAAAACCTTGGCACGAAGCGATCTCATTAGACGATCGATTATCGTTAACTTTAGAAGAAATCGTTCATATACGCACAGTTTTAACAAAAGCGGAAGTTGAAGCTCTTCCAATTGAAGGTCACGTAAAAAGTGATGTCGAAAATAGTAAGGTGTGTTTCTTATGTTTGAAGACGAGGTTTGGTATTTTGGGACCATGGGGGCAACGTTGTCGTTTATGTAAACGTACCGTTTGTAGTAAATGTATTTCAAAAATGTGCATTCCCATGGAACATTTCGCTAGCGTTCCCGTTGTACTGTTGAGTCCGAGTATAATGGCCACTCCGGAAGATGAATTTCAAAACGGTTTTAAACCAAAAACATCTCCCAGCGATGGTAGTAATTCGGCTAATTCCAGTACACAACCTAGTCCGAGTAGACCAAGTTCGTCTTTGGAACGATTTCGTAGACAGAATACAGCTAAAGTTGGAGCAATAGATAAAACGCGGGGATCTTTGATGGCTGTTTGTTTAGATTGTAAGATGATGGTGCTACAAATAATTAAATCGGCGCAGGCGAACCGATCAGCTATACGAAATAAACATCTTCAGACTTTAACGTTGAATATATCCCCAGTGTTCTAAAAAAAATAATGATAGAATAAGTAATTTTTTTTTATTAAAAAATCTCGTATATGCTAGTCATTAGAATGAGATCGACATAATAATAAAATTATTTATATTAAAATGATAAGAAATGTATCGTGATTCTGTAAAAAAATAAGTTGTGATTAATTAGGTTTTCGACTTAGGAAAAAAAAATAAATAAAAGTTACCAAAAAAAAAAAATTTAAATTAAATTTATAATAATTTATGTATTTTTTAATTTTATTTATATAGTTTTAAATGTACAGGGTGATTCATTAAGAATCGATAATCTTTGAATTGGAGATAAGAGGCACCAAATAAAACAATTTTTAATTTATATCTCTAGCTCAATCAATTTTAAATTTTATTTATTATAAAGCTAAATAATTTAAATTTTTTCTCTCCAATTCTAAGATTACAAATAGATTTTTATTTGTGTTTATTTTTTTTGTAAAGATGTCAACAAAGTCTATTAAGTAACTAATTGATTTTAAAATTTAGATCATTTAAATTTGTTTTTGTTTAAATGACTATTTACTCTGTTGGCATCTAAACCTCTTGAATTTTCTGGTCTCTCATAGATATGTAATAATAATTAAGAAAATCATTCCAAAAAATGTGTAACCGTTTGTTCCTTGAGCGTAGTTAGGCGAAAGTGATAGCAAAATGTTTTAATGTGTAATATAAGATTCTATCTCTAGATAAATTATAAATTATTTTATTTTCTTAAATGATAAAAAATGGAGAAGAAGAGAATATTTAAAAATTATATAAATGCACACTCTACGTAGGGTAAGATTATATTGCAAATAAAAAAGGATGTGTTGAAAAACAATACTTTTTTTTATTATTAGTGGAATTATAAGTATAAACAAAGGCTTTTATGGCCAGTGTTAATTGAACTAGATCTAGTGTAGGGTGCGTTTTTTTAAATGAAAACAACCACTGATTATTCGCTTATTAGGGTTAAATAGGTCTATTTCTTATTCTTTTAGAATAAAGCTAAAAATTAACTTTTTTTTAGTGTCATCAAAAAAAATTAAATTTACAGTTTCCTGTAAATTATGGTACTATAACTAAAAATTATTTTACTAAAAATTTATATAAAATTTACTTTATTTCCTAATATGTAACATTCTAACATGTTAAACATTCCGTAATTTTTTTAATCCACCTTAAAAAACAGGATTTTTAATTTGACACTTCAGAAAAATTTTGAATACAAACAAATGTTGCTATGTTTATTTGAATTAAATAAAATATTTATGAGCGCCATCTATCAATACTTTATTAAGTCATTTAATAATAATATTAAATATTAATAAAAATGTGAAATAATGCAATCTATTCCAACTTTTGTGTAAAACAAATATAAATTAAATAGTTCAACAAACGTATTTGTTTCAAATATCAGAAATATGTTTTTTTAGTTTTTAGTTATAATTTACAGGAAACTGTAAATTTAATTTCTTTGACGACACCACAAAAAAACGGTTTATTTTTAGCTTTATTCTAAAACTATAAGAAATAGACCTGTCAAACCCTATATTTTTGTAATCAGAAAAAAATAACGAATTTAATAAGCGAATAATCAGTGGCTGTTTCCATTTCCGAGTTAGCCTATTCGGACATCGAAATTGAACCATCCTGTACATATAAATAGAATATTCGTGCAAAATGATTTAATATTAAAATAGGATTCTTTAAGTGTCTGCCTAACCTATCCTTTGATATGGACTCCCTCCGCTGATAGAATGAGAGTCATTCGGCTTGCGCATACTACATATCAATCCTATTATTCCACGTGATAAAAAATAACCATGATGCTCTGATCTCAATAATACTTTCATGGAGGCATTGTGGTTAGCGAGGCCTACAAACTCTCCAGCATGCCTATGAAGTGTGTATATTTGCATCTTGTTTATTTATACACAAATATCTAAGTATACTTTATCGGTAGTTATTAGGTTGTGTTCCAAAGGTGCTTTTTGTTATAGTTGAGGAGTGATTAAATCGTATTTTCTTGATAATAATTTCCATACGATACATTCCCACTAATTAAATTAAGTTCCCATATTAAATAATAATACCCCGAAAATACAAAAATTAACCACATCCACATTGGAATACCCACAATTATCTAATGCATACATCCATATAAAATTTATTACACTCATATAAATACAGAAACATTTCAAATTAAACGTCAATAAATACATCTTTGGTATAACTGTATCAAATATGAGGTCGTTTATTCGAAAAATCATAAAAGCGTTTAAAGACCCAGCTCTTCCTGAAAATTATTTCAGGCTTGAAGTAAATTTATTTATTATTTTGAACTTAAACCTGTTTAATTAAAATAAATTTTAGATTTATAATTTAAGAGCTTTCGGGCTGGAAATGTTAAAAGAGGAATCGTGGTTATACACAATTTATTCAAGAATAACTCTTTTATTTCTGGTTTATTCTTTCACGGCCGGGGAATCTTTGGAAATATATTTGAATTGGGGAGGATTAAATGCGCTGGTTGATGTTGTATCTTACCTGTTTACTCATATTGGGGGTACAAAGTAAAAATGATTTTACATAAAACTAATTTCATTATTTTAGGCGCTGTAAAAGTAACGCTTATATTTTATAATCGAAAAAAATTTGGTGCAATGATTAGAAAGTTTCACGCGATACCTTTCGCTCCAAACCCAACAAGAGGAGGCAACGTCGAAGCAGAATTCATCAGAAAAGTTATTAAAATAACCGATATACAGTTCGGTGTTTATATGACGTTTGTTTCTGCAACCCTATTCATCGGAGGAATCAGATGTTGTTGGTCGATATTATTTAAAACCCGCGATGAATGGGTGGTCCCATTCTCACCTATAACAATTCTTAAACACGCCGGTTCCCCGTATTTCGAACTCGGAAGTTTATATCAATACGTTTGCGTCACTTTATTTGCAGTTATTATCGTTACGATGGACGTCTTGCTTTGTTGTATCATGGCACAATTAAGCGTTCAATTTAAAATTCTTAGAAACGCTTTCGAGTATATCCCATTAACGATTATTAATAACGTTATAAATTTGAATTATTTTAGGAATATGAGGAATCGAGCTAAAGAAATGACAAATATAGGTCCAAATCCAAAAAACGAAGAAGAATGTATGCGAATTATTTTAGGCGAATACATTCACCATCATTGCGCTGTATTTCAATTAGCCGCCGAATTAGAAGATCTTATTAATGTAATCGTTTTGGGGGCCACCGGAGTTGATACCATTCTTTTATGTTTTCTTTTGTATCAATGCGCTAGAGTAAACTATTTCAAATCTTGTTAAAACTCATTATTAATTTATTCGTTTTAGTATCCTATTGGAAGCGTTACTTTCCTACAAAATTTTTTTTACTATTGGATCATTGTCACTCAAGTTAGCATGTATTGTTATTGGGGAAACGAAATTACCAGTGAAGCGGAAGAATTGGCTGCAGCCGCAGGAAACGTTAATTGGCCCGCGACCCCACTTTCTGTACCGAGAGGTTTAGTTTTGGTTATTGCAAGAAGTCAAAAACCGTTGTTTATGACCATTGGAAAGTTTTTTCCTTTATCTTTAACCACATTAATGAGTGTAACGTGATTTTTTTTCTATAAAAATGATATTAAAAGTAATTTTATTTATTTTTTTTAGTTACTCAAAGGTTCTTTTTCCTATTTTACAGTGATGAGACAAACTAACAATATGGAACAAGAATAAGTAGCCGAAATTTGAAATTAAATAAATTACCTTTAAATTGCTTTTTATTGCACGATAATATCTCGATTCGTTCTTGAGATACGACTTTTTTAATTTTAACTTTATATTTAGAATAATCAAATATGCCGAGTTGGGTTTAAAAAGTCATAATAACGATGTTTATGGAAAATAAGAAATTGTTTATGGTGCATTAAATCTTCATCAAATTTCCTTTAAACTGCTTTTTATTTCATAATGATATCTCAATTAGTTTTTGAGATACAAAAACTCTAACATTTTGGCAATAAATTTACTTTAAAATGCTTTTTATTTCATGGTGATATCTCAATTCGTTCTTGAGATACGATTTTTTTAATTTTATCTTACAGTTTAGAACAATCAAACATGACGAGTTGGGTTTAAAAAGTCATAACAACGATGTTTATGGAAAATAAGAAATTGTTTATGGTGCATTAAATCTTCATCAAATTTGCTTTAAACCGCCTTTTATTTTATCATGATATCTCAATTAGTTTTTGAGATACATAAAGATTAATTACCCCAACATTTATGTTCAAGGTTATGTAAGGTTGTAATCAAAAAATCATAACTCCAAAATTTTAAGATTCGAAGAAATGATCTTCAATATATTAAATACTAAATAAATTTACTTTAAAATGCTTTTTATTTCATGGTGATATCTCAATTCGTTCTCGAGATACGATTTTTTTAATTTTATCTTACAGTTTTGAACAATCAAACATGACGAGTTGGGTTTAAAAAGTCATAACAACGATGTTTATGGAAAATAAGAAATTGTTTATGGTGCATTAAATCTTCATCAAATTTGCTTTAAACCGCCTTTTATTTTATCATGATATCTCAATTAGTTTTTGAGATACATAAAGATTAATTACCCCAACATTTATGTTCAAGGTTATGTAAGGTTGTAATCAAAAAATCATAACTCCAAAATTTTAAGATTCGAAGAAATGATCTTCAATATATTAAATACTAAATAAATTTACTTTAAAATGCTTTTTATTTCATGGTGATATCTCAATTCGTTCTCGAGATACGATTTTTTTAATTTTATCTTACAGTTTTGAACAATCAAACATGACGAGTTGGGTTTAAAAAGTCATAACAACGATGTTTATGGAAAATAAGAAATTAGTTATGGTGCATTAAATCTTCATCAAATTTGCTTTAAACCGCTTTTTATTTCATAACGATATCTCAATTAGTTTTTATGATACATAAAGATTAATTACCCCAACATTTATGTTCAAGGTTATGTAAGGTTGTAATCAAAAAATCATAACTCCAAAATTTTAAGATTCGAAGAAATGATCTTCAATATATTAAATCCCAAATAAATTTACTTTAAATTGTTTTTTATTTCATGGTGATATCTCAATTCGTTCTTGAGATACGATCCTTTAAACTTTATATTCATATCTATAACAATGAAGCATGCAGAGTTAAAGTGCTTATTAAAATATATGATAAAGGTGAGTGTAGATGACTAATACGTTGTGTATAGACCATCCAGTATGTTATTAATTATTAAATTTGTTTTATTGACTTTTATATTTGACATTTTTGTATTCTGTCTAAATTAAATCAAAATTATCGTTTTCCTCACGATAATCTTTAAATTTTTTATCTCAAAATTCTCGCAGTGCCCAAAAATGCGTTTGATACACGTCGTTTATTCTCTGGCCCAAACAGCACAAAAATTACCAAAACAAACCCCCATAAAAAAATTCTTCAAAGCGACTCATTGCATTTTTGATCTCGACGATATCATTTTGGATACGAGTCGTTCCTACGAATTGTCTTGTGCGAAAATTTTTAGGGGATTTGGGGAGCACTTCACATCGCAATGGCGTCAAAAAATGTTAACGATGTCTTCGAAAGATTTTTGGAAAGATGTGAGAGAAACGTATCGGTTACCAAGTTCTTGGGTTGCGCTGGAAACCGATTGCCAAGATGTTTATAAGCGTTACGTTGAAGGGGCAACTTTAAGATCGGGCGCAAAAAAATTAATCACGCATTTATATCAGAATAATATTCCGATGGCTGTGGTAACATCTTGCGATAGAAAAGGAATGGAAATGAAAACGAGTCACTTAAAGAAATTTATGGGTCTATTTAGGCATATTGTTTGTTCCGATGGTGACGCAAGCATTAAAAATTGCAAACCAATGCCGGATGTTAACTTAATTTGTGCGTCAAGATTTTTGGAGAAACCGATTTTTTGTAACTGTTTGGCTTTCGAGGGGACCCCAAGAGGAATTAGCTCAGCGTTATCCGCGGGGATGCAATGTGTTGCAATTCCAAGTCAAAATGTTCCTGTTGAAATGTGTCAACATGCAACATTATTGATTAATTCACTTGGAGATTTCGAACCAGAAGTTTTTGGGCTACCACCGCTATGATATGGTGTTAAATAATTTGAGAAGTGATTGTTTTATAAATTAGTGGAAATGTGTTTAATAATTTGTTAATATGTACAATTGAATAAAAATTATTTTGAAATAAATTACATTAATTTATGAGATTAAAACCAAACAAGAAAACTACATTAATTTATTAGTTATCCACAAGACACAGTACTAATAAATCCGAGCTGGTTTTTTACTTAATTGTTCTCGAAGAAGGGGTAAACCATATCTTCCTGGCCAAAAATCGGTTAAATTATGAACAACTTCTGAGGCGAACGTAATATCTTTGTGTAAAGTAACGGGCGGACTTGTTACCCCAATTACTTGCATGCAAGCGCAAGATGCAGCCATAATTCCATTTGGAGTATTTTCAAAAACTAAACAATTCTCAGGATGTGCGTTGTTGAAGAATTTTTCGGCACAAAGCGAATAAATTTGTCCACTCGGTTTTGATTTGGTTACGTTAATATCATCACCACAAAGGATGTGAGAAAATTTTGACATAAGACTCCTTATGTTTGTAGTTTTGATATCAAACGAGGTTTTTGTTGAATTGGTTACAACAGCCATTGGAATTTTATGTCTTTCAAAGTGATTGATTAAGCGTTCGATTCCTGGTTTTAATGGCGCATGTGGTAAAGATTTATTGATTATGTTTTGATACTCTATATAAAGTCTATCCCATTGGCAAGACATCTTTAGTTCTTTAACAACCTTTTTCCACATCTCTTTTTCGTTCATCCCAAAAATCTTGAATCTCCAGTCATAATCGTATGGCAAATTATATTTATCGAACACATGTTTGTACGCTGAATTCAACATTTTATGATTATCTAAAATCGTTCCATCTAAATCAAATATTACGTGAGTAACACGATTGTAATTTCTAAATTGAATCAACGAAATTTTTCTTAATAGTATTGAAGAATTTAAACAAATTTTTAAGGAAATCATGATGATCTAAACATTCTAAATGACATATTTATTTTATGACAAATCAAAATATTAAAGATGCTTGCTTTCAAAAAATAAAACTTTCTTGATTCATTTTAATTATTATTTATAAATTAGTTATAATCAAATTACTAAATATACTAAAAATGCAACCAATTTACCACGGATTATGAAAGTTCGGTTAATTATCAATAGATGGCGATGCCAAAATGGTTTAAATTTACGAAAATTAAACAATTACTACAACTTATAAATAAGTAAATACATAAATAATTAATAAAATTTGTTTATACATATCTAAAAATAAAATTATAATAAAAACAACATCAAAAAAAATTTTTTTTAATTAGAATGAAGTGAGGTTATGATTGTGTCAACAAACGTCATAACCTAAATTTTAATATTAATTTAAACACTTTAAAAATAAAAACCTAATTAGAATGTAATTAAAAATGAATAAATCCCACAAAATAGGGTTGAAATTAAAATAAACTTAGTAAATAGTTAGGTGTAAACAGATTGGGTTGGGTTCGTTTTAAAAAAAAGTACCGTTACAATGGTATTTATGCCACGAATTGCATAAATTCCATAAACGAAGCGTGTGCCAACAACCTCCGAATCTCAAACTTAAAATGCAACAATTCAATTAAAACTTAAAAGTTCTTAAAGTTTATTTTGTTAATAATGGAAAATGTACGAAATAGAAAGATAGCAAAAAATAAGAACAAAAAAGAAAAACATGATAAATTAGAAGAGTTAAGTGAAATTAATCAAGGTCTGAACGAAACTAATCAAGAATCCAATCAAAATGACGAAGATCTTAAAGGTATAAATCGAAATATTGAGAAAATAAATGATAACCTAACAAAAAATGAGGTTATGGAAAGTTTTGAGGAATCTAAACGTAAATTAAAAATAAAAAGTTCTTGTACGCTTCAATTTCGAATTGAAATTGATTTCATTGCGGTTATTTTATTTCTGGCTGCGTTATATACGAGATTTTATAAATTGGAGCAACCCAAATATATTGTGTAAGTTACATAACCTCACTTTTTTTTTAAATATTGAATAAAGAGGTTATTTTTTTTTAGGTTTGATGAACTACATTATGGAAAATACGTTTCTTTGTATATGAAAAACACCTTTTTCTTTGATAATCACCCACCGTTAGGTAAACAATTAATAGCAGGGGCAGCCTATATGGCAGGTTATGATGGTAAATTTAAATTTGATCGAATCGGAAGTCCGTATAATGAAAAAGTACCGTTATTTGCAATGAGGTTTATCCCAGCGTTTTTTGGTAGCTTATTAATACCGACTGCTTATTATTTAATGTTAGAAACTGGGCTTAGTAAACCCACGGCTCTTTTAGGAGGATTATTATTATTATTGGATAATGCAATTTTAACCCAAAGTCGATTTATTTTAATGGAATCAATGTTAATATTTTTTACCTTATTTGGATTACTTTGTGTAATGAGATTTAAACGATTAGAAATGAAAAGGATGGGAACAGGGTGGTTAATTTTAGGTTCGGCCGCTTTAACATGTGGGTTATGCGTTAAATACGTAGCGTTTTATTCGTTTTGTTTATTTATTTCGATTATATTTAAAGATTTTTGGAAAAAACTTGCTGATAAAAAGTTTTCCAATGTTAATTTAATTCTAAATTTTTTAATTTTAACCTCAATTTTAACTATAATCCCATTAATAATTTATTTAACCGTTTTTTCCGTCCATTTAAACCTACTTTATAAAGCGGGACCTCATGATAGCATCATGACGAGTGCTTTTCAAGCTTCACTCGAAGGCGGTTTAGCTTCCATCACCAAAGGTCAACCACTTCTAGTCGCCCATGGCTCCCAAATTACTTTAAGACACACTCATGGTCGTACTTGTTGGTTACATTCTCACGCTCATGTTTACCCCGTTCGATATCCAGATAAAAGAGGCTCAAGTCATCAACAACAAGTCACTTGTTACTCGTTTAAAGACGTTAACAATTGGTGGATTGTAAAAAGGCCCCAAAAAAATGATTTGGTAGTTGAAAAACCAATTGATTCCATCAAACATGGCGATATCATCCAATTAGTCCATGGAATTACAAGCCGGGCTTTAAATTCTCATGATGTAGCGGCCCCCATGTCACCTCAATGCCAAGAGGTGTCTTGTTATATCGATTATAACGTTTCAATGCCTGCACAAAATTTATGGAGGGTTGAGGTGATTAATCGAGATCAAAATGGCGATTTTTGGCACACAATTCAAAGCTTAGTTCGGTTAATTCACGTTGATAGTAATCAAGCGTTAAAATTCAGTGGGAGACAACTTCCTGAATGGGGTTTTCACCAACATGAAGTTGTAGCCGATAGAATTATTTATCAAGATGATACGGTTTGGAATGTTGAAGAACATCGATATACAAAATGTTAGTACTAAAATATCTAACTCCTCATTAATTATTAATTTAACTTGTAGCTGACGATCAAAAAGAGCGCGAAAGAGAAATGGTATCAGCAGAAATGATTCCAACAACCGCAACAAAGTTATCATTTTGGGATAAATTCTTTGAATTGCAATATAAAATGATATTCTCCGGTACAGAGAGTGTTCAAAATCATATGTATAGCTCGGAACCTTTAGAATGGCCCTTAATGTCGCGTGGAATTGCTTATTGGATCTCAAATACGAGTAATGTGAGTGTAATAAATTGAGGTTATAAAAAAATTTTGTATAAATTATGTTTTTAGGCTCAAATACACCTTCTTGGTAATTTATTAATATGGTACTCATCAACAATCTCATTATTTTTATACTCATCTTTATTAATATTTTATTTATTGAGACGTAGAAGAAAATGTTATGATATACCTGAAAAAATGTATGAAAACTTTGTTTTGGTAGGTGAAGTGTTTTTTGTAGGATATCTATTCCATTTTATTCCTTATTTTTTCGTTGAACGCACGTTATTTTTACACAATTATTTACCGGCGTTTATTTTTAAAGTTTTATTAATGGCAGGATTAATCGAACACTTATTTACACTTTTATTAACAAAAATTAAGGTTAAATTTATTACCGAAATGTTTTTATTTTTGCTTTTCTTATGGACGTTTGGCATTTTTTATGTATTCAATAAGTTTTTAATTTTAAGTTATGGTTTAACTCCTTTAACAATGAATGATATTATTAATTTAAGGTGGAAAGATACTTGGGATTTTATCGTTCATAAACATTAAAGTTATGAAGTTTTTTTTATATGATGGACGTATTGAACCTATTTTTTTTAAAAGACGTATTTTTATATGAATTTTTAATAAAATTATTTAAAGTTAAAATGTTGAATTTAAAAAAAAAACGCATTTCAGCGCCATCTATACATGACAGCTGGTATTATATTTAAAAATTGGAGACTAATTTAAAAAAATGTAATGTTTCTAGTTCTCTAGAAACATGCTACACAGGCTTTTATTTATCTGTTATGTATTTCACAATTATTAATATTCAAATTATTACTTTTCAGCAATGTCAAATGTTGTTGAAAGCCAACAAAAGATGGCGCTATTATGAAATTTAAATTGAGTGTGTTGAAAGGTTAAGTTTATTCCATTCTGTTCTTAAAAAGAAATTTTTAGTAGAAATGGGTTTTAGCTGTTATTAATTAAGACAAAAAATTTTATAGAGAGCAATATTCGCACTATTAAAGCACAATAAGCTTTCAAAGTGAGTACAAAAAGTATTACTTAATTTTTTTTATTTGATGAGTACACAATCGAACACTTCTTTGCACTTTTATTAACAATATCGTTCATAAACATTAAAGTTATGATTTTTTATATGATGAACGTATTGAGTCTATTTTTTTAAAAGATACGTATTTTTATATGAATTTTTAATAAAATTATTTAAAGTTTTAAAAAAACGCGTTTCAGCGCCATCTATACATGACAACTGGTATTATATTTAAAAATTGTGAAAGTTAGGGATTAATTAAAAAAATTCAAAGTTTATTTGTACTTCAACATAATCTATAATTATTCTATTTACACCGATTAATTTAATCCTTTGAAATAACCCTATTAAATAAATTTGTTATAATACTTTAAAGAAGCGCCATCTACAAACAAAGAGATTAATTAAAAGAATTCCAACCTGTTTTACCTTAAAACAGGTAGTAGAAACTTATTTAATGTAAATTAGCCACCTTACATACACACATTCCATTAGAAGAAGTATAAATTAGTGATAAAATGAGTAAGTCCCGCCCTAATTATCACTTCCGTCCGTAAAACGTTGAAAAAGTTGGTCAAAACTCCCAAAGAAAACACCATGAAACTACCCTCTTAATCCTGTTATCAGTTATTATTGAAATCGTAAACGTGTTAAAAGATTAATCGGAATTAAAATGAACGTAGTAGAAGACGATGTTAAAAGTGAACCGGGCAAAACGGATGTGGTGGCCCCAAAATCGCAACCATCGCCAACGAAAAGTTGGGTTAAATTTGAAGAGGAAGCCCAAAACGGTGTTACGACTACGAATAAAAATGTTTCGAACGAACCGGCAGTTATTAAAACGGAAAGTATTCAAGTAAATTTGGAAAGGAGTATTACTAGTTCTTTAAACGATAGCAATGGGCCTAATAACGATAACCAACCCTTACGAAACGTTGTTTTGCCTATTACAAGTGTTAATGATACGATTCGACAAGGTTTTAGTAAGTTTAATAAATTTATTTTTAGGTTATGTTCATTAAAGAGAATTATTTTAATTTTTATAGCTAATGGTGATATAATTGTGACTTTATTGCCTGTTAATTCACGATTTCCTTGGGTAACCCCAGCACAATTCCGTCCAGAATTGGTACCTGAAGAACTTATGGCTCAAGGTCTTACTGTAAGTATTATTTAAATTGCTTTTTAACTCATAAACCTTATTGTTATGCATGTTACATGAAATATGCGCTATGAATCATTATCATTAGCTTATTAAAATTATATAATGAGTTTTATTGGAGCTAAGTAATATTTTTTTTCCAATTAACAAAAATTAACTGAAAAATTATTTTGTATTTGTTTCTTGATTTACTTTCTAACCAAACTTTTGTTTTCTTAACCCTAAAAAGTTGTTTATTAACAATTAGGGGTAAAAAAACTTGAAAGAAAAAGATTTTTAAGTTGTTGGTATATTAACTTATTTCTTTAAAGCTAACATTGATTCATGTATGTTATTTTTTTAAAGAGTGCAATCAGTGTTGCCACTTTTGGAACACGAAAATAAGTTTTTATTATTGCAATTAACCTTTGTATGTATTAGGCTCGTTACTACCATCTTCTGGTTAAGCTATCTAAGGGATTATTACCACGGTTACGGCTATTTTACGCGCTCTGATTGGCTAGTAGATGGGTTTATCTATAGGATAAATTTATCTAAAAGATGGTAGTAATGGACCTTACTCAATCAATTTTCCTTATTTTATACCTTTGTAGGTTAGAAAAATATGACGTTTTGAACTGTCACTTGAAATAATTGAGATGTGTCAAGTGTGATTATATATCCACTAACTTCACATCAGTGTCAACTTTAAATCATTTGTTAATATATTATGCATTAAATATTTTTAAAAATTAATAATTTTTATGCAAAACAGGCAAGTTAATAAAATACTGTCTTGTTGGCAACACTGGATGCAATAACTGGTTGTGAGAGAATTTTAAAATTTAATCTTCCAGTACACCATGCAATTGTCAATAGAAATGATCGTTGGACAAAAGATGGCGCTAGTTATTAAACTTCAAATTTATTTTCTGAATTTAGTTATTTTTTTTTGTATTAAATCTATATACCTTAACTCAATTGCATAAGATTAGATCTTTATGGAACCCGAATTTCGGCTAAACCCTAATGATTCTAGTTCCAGGTCTAGAGTTAGTTCTAGTAACAATGTTAGTGTAAAACTAGAACTAGAAACATATTTAAATTGATTTTTAACCCATAAACCTTATTGTTATGCATATTACATAAAATATGCGCTATGAATCATTATCATTAGCTTATTAAAATTATATAATGAGTTTTATTGGAGCTGAGTAATATTTTTTTATTTACTTTTTCCAGTTAACTGTCGAAGAATATGTCCAATCAATGGAACTTTTAGTAAACGATTACCGTTTCACAATTTACAATATATGTTACAAACGAATATTAGTTGTTTGGATAACAATAGCTTTCAGTCTTTTACTTGGTTTATTATTTTCCGGTTTAAACGGCTTATTGCTTTTCGGGGTTGGAATAACTTGGCTAGTTATTAACGCGGGTGTTATTTTCTTATCGATTTGGATCAAATTCAAACTTTCGCGTAATTTGGAACGTTGCTTGGCCAACGTTAACAAACAACTTCTTCGCCATAAGATCATTTTGGCGTTAGACGATCGTGGAAAAATTTCATGCCATAAAGTAACGTTATGTTTCATTTATTTGGACCCGGGACCTTGCATTAATCAATTACAAACGTGTATCGAACAACAAGAACGAGAAGCTAATGGGTGGGAACAAAGAATGGATATTTCTGCTAACGACATTGTTATACAAGGATCAAGAACAACCAGGTTATCACGAAAACAGGTAAGAAACGTGAATTATTAATTTATTAGACATTTTTTTGATTTATTTTGAGGTTAATTTTCTTTTGGTAACAATGACATTTAAATTGGATTATTTTTTGAGGTTATGTTTTTGGTTTTCATACAGGGTAAAGCCGAGCAGGTGTTCACGCGATACCTGCAGAGGTGGGGAAAGGATTTTTTACGACGCCGGCTCGACTGGACCCTAGAGGATACCATTGGAAATCCCTCAAATCCACGGCACATAACCTCAGCTTTATGTCCGTGTCAATATATCGAGGAAATTCTAGCTAATAAACCGCCGAGAAGCGATATAAGGGATTGTTGCCCTTATTGGTCAAGGTTTTTGGCTAGAATGGGCGTCGATTAATAAAGTTGTAGAAAAAACGTGTTAATAATAAGCAAAAGTTATTTTTTAAGTTACTTAACCTCAAAAAGTTTTAAATGAAATTAAGATATAGGTTATGTATTTATAAATTTTCCGTTTAGGAACGTGCAGCTTTATTATATCTCCGTTACGCCTCGCGATGGGGTAAAGAAAGAGTTAGGGGTTACTTAGCGAGTCCTCCAGCGAAAGGGGGGCGCCATTGTCCGTCCATAACATGTCCCTGTCAATTTATTGAGGATCATCTTCAATGTAAACCGGCAGGCAAGTTAACAATACGCTCGATTTTTAATTTACCAGATCAAACCGTTAATTCTTGAAACGAAAATCAAAGTTATCGATAAAAAAATTAGTTTCTATTTGTTTCTTAACTTACTTTCTAACCAAACTTTATTTTCTTTTTATTAACCTTAAAAAGTTGTTTACTAACAATTACTTGAAAGAAAGGGATTTTTAGGTTTTAAACGTTGTTGATTTATTAACTTATTCCTTTAAAGCTAACAGGATTCATGTATGTTCTTTTTTTTAAGGATGCAATCAGTGTTGCCACTTTTGGAACACGAAAATAAGTTTTTATTATTGCAATTATCCTTTTTATGTATTACGATCAATCACTTTTACTAATTTTATAATAACATTATATCTTTGTAGGTTAGAAAAATATGACGTTTTGAACTGTCACTTGAAATAATTGAGTGTGATTTATATGTCCGCTAACTTCACATCAGTGTCAACTTTAAATCATCCTTTAATATGTATTAAATATTTTTAAAAATGAATAATTTTAGGCAAATTAATAAAAGACTGTCTTGGTGGCAACACTGAATGCAATAAGTGGTTGTGAATTTTAAAATTTAACCTTTCAGTACACCATGCTATTGTCAATAGAAACGATCGTTGGGCAAAAGATGGCGCTAGTTATTAAACTTCAAATTTATTGTCTGAATTTTGTTATTTACTGTTTTGTATTAAATCTATATAACTTAACTCATTTGCAAACGCTCAGATATTTACGGAACCCGAATGATTCTAGTTCCAGGTCTAGAGTTAGTTCTAATAACGATATTAGTATAAAACTAGAACTAACACTAGACCTAGAACTACAAAGTTTCGAGTTTAGCTTCTTAAGAAACCCTTGGCTAAACCCAAATGCTTCTACTTCTAGTGAAAGTGTTAGTTCTATTATAGCTACACAGGCTTTTATTTATCTGTTATGTATTCACAACATTTCACAAATATTAATATTTATTAGAATTGTTATTATCTGTCAACAATGTCAAATGTTGTTGAAAGCCAACAAAAGATGGCGCTATTGCGAAATTTAAATTGGGTGTATTGAAAGGTTAAGTTTATTCTATTCTGTTTTTAAAAAGAAATTTTTAATAGAATTGGGTTTTAGCTGTTATTAATTAAGGAAAAAAATGTTATAGAGAGCAATATTCGCACGATTAATGCACAATAAGCATTCAAAGTGAGTACAAAAAGTATTGAAACGTATGTACTTAATTTTTTTTTACTTGATGAGTATACACTCTTTTTAAATGTGATTTTTAACCTTAACATTCCACATTTTTTCATTATTAATCTTTTATTCTTATTGTTAGATAGAAACACGTTATTAAAGGTTTTAAAGGCTACATAATAATATATAGAAATATCCGTCCACGTTGTATTTTTTATAAATGTATATATAACGAAATAAACAATAAATTATTATTATTATTACAAAAAAAAAGTGATCGTTTATTTATTTCATTCATTTTCATTACGCTTTTGGGTTACTTTTCTTTAAAGCATTTTAGCTTCTTGGCCATTTTCTTTGGGTCTTGTTATAAAAGGGATATCAAATTCCAATGATGATAAATAGTTCTGTTTTTTAGGACCATGTTCGTTTTTTCTTGGTTTATCAGATAGAAATGTTCGTTATGATATGGGAACCTATCCTGTTATATCTGTTTAAAGGTTAATGAAGAATATATGATATAAAAAGTTATTATTTTTGTATTTCTCTATTAAATAAACTTGTATGTTAATTATCACCAAGCGTTTATTTTAATCCGTTTTACATTTTTCATAAATTTCTTCCTTTTTGTTTTGAAGTTCATCTTGAACCCGACTTAATTTTTCAACCAATCCTTTTAATCTCCCGTTTATTTCCTCTAAATTATCCGAGTCTTGTAAATATTCTTGTACATCGGCAAATCGTTTTTCTTGTTTTGGCACCTTTACATCCAAACAGGCATATAATTTTTTAATCTGTTCATTATCACTTTGTATATTTTTTATGTCTTCTTCAATCTTTTCGAATTCAAACGTAAATTCTTTTCTTTGAGGTATTTTATTACGTTTAAACATAATAACCAAAAAAACAGCTTAATTTATCAATTTATAGGTTATGTCATTCGAACCTAACTTCAGATGATGATATAAAATAAAATTTTCATTTAATAAATAAATTTTTATAAACACCTTTCGTAATTAGTTTTCAAATCATATATAAAGAAATAATTTTAAATTAATTAATTCTTTTTAAAACAATTTTATTAATGAATACATTTTTAGGTTATGTCATATAAACCTAACTTCACTGTGATGATCTAAAATAAACCTTTTTAATTAAAAAAATATCATTTTTAATTAGAATAAGTTAAAAAGTGAGTACTTAATATGATTTTGATCTAATCATTAAGTTTATTATTAACTCAAAATTATAATTTCATCTTAAGAATGACTTCGCTTGGAGGTTATGCAGAGGAATACGGGGACGATTTAGAGCAAACTTTAGTGTTAGCCGCTGCTGATGCTGATGCTAGAAATGAAGAATACGCAGAAGTGCCTGTTAAGGAAGATGTGCAACCAGATGATCCCCAAAAAGATAGTTCAGATGAAGAGAAAAAAATAGTAAATGATCCAGGCCCAGCTGCAAAGAAACCAAAATATACCCACGAAGCTGTTGAAAATGTATCAAAAGTAGTGGCTAAACATTATAATAATTTGGAGGAAAAAGGTTTGGATGAAAGGGCTATGTCTAGGATCTTTTTTATGCGTAATTTTCATAATTGGATAAAAAGCATGTTGATAAACGAGTATTTAACAAAGATTAAGTCTACAAAAAAACATAATGCGCCTATTCGCGTACACGATATGTGCTGTGGTAAAGGGGGAGATTTATTAAAATGGCGTAAAGGCAATATTAATCATTTAATTTGTTCCGATATCGCATCGGTTTCGTTAGACCAATGTAAAGCTCGTTACGATGACATGAAAACCCGTAATTTTCGTGATCGCGGTCCGACCAATCTTTATTCAATCGAATATATTGTCGCCGACTGTACCAGAGTTAGATTAAGAGAAAAATATAAAGATCCTTCATTAAAATTAGACTTAGTAAGTTGTCAATTTGCGTGTCATTACAGCTTTGAAAGTCTCTCCCAAGCGGAATGTTTATTAAAAAACGCCGGGGAGTGTCTTCAACCAGGCGGATTTTTCATAGGAACCATCCCTGATGCAAACGAATTAATAGCGCGTTTACAAAAATCAAATTCGAACGATGACTCATTCGGAAATAACGTTTATAACGTTTATTTCGAGTGTAACACAACAAAACCGGCCCTTTTTGGGGCAAAATACAACTTTCATTTGGACGGCTGTGTTGATTGTCCCGAATTTTTGGTGCATTTCCCAACCTTTGTTAAGTTAGCGAAAAAATTTGGGTTAAAATTGGTTCGTATGGAGAAATTCCGAGATTTTTTTGAACGGATGAAAGACGAGGGTTCATTTTTACTTTCAAATATGAAAAGTTTAGAACCTTTTCCATGTCAGGATAGAAATGGACTTGTTGGAACCGATTCTGATGATTATTTACATGCCAAATCTTATTTGAAGGAGTATCAACCTACAAGTATTATTGGAACTTTATCAAAATCGGAGTGGGAAGCTTCTTGTGAGTTACAAATAGTTTTATCTTTCTTTTAAGTTTGTTTAAAATAATTTAAAATTGTTTTTAGCTTTGTACCTAACTTTTGCATTTGAAAAGGTGAAGAATACTTGGAATGAAAAAGGTGAACCTGTTTATGATATCTGAATGATGTATTTTAAGTTGTAAATGACTTAAGTTTTTAATAAATAATAATACTTCATCTAAAACTTTTTTTATTTAATAAGATATCTCAATGTATTTGTTTGCAACTATGATGTATTTTTCCTCTTTTCAAGGCGTAACAAAAGTTGTGGCAAATTTTATCCTTAATAATACTGCTCTCTTTTACTTTTGCTCTCAGATGGGTAAATATTGAGAAAAATACAAAAATTTAAAGTTTAAGATTCTCGATTACCATGATTTTTTTTTCTAAATACGAGACTCTTAATATATCTAAAAGATAAATAAATTAAATTTATTTAATTAATTTTGTTTGTCAATTACTTTTTCCAATTATTTTTATAAATATTCATATTTTTAAATACATAACCTTATTCGACAACTCATGTAACAGGGACTTTCTGCCGTTACTACCAACCTTGAAATTCGAAATGAGTTAAATTATTTTTTAATGGATAATTTTTCATTAAAAGTGCATGTCAATTTTCAAAGTGGTCCCCAAAACTTTTCTATCCGCTAAAAACCGACGAGTTTCGTCCTATCTTATTCAGAAAAAATCAAAGTTTCTTATTTTGTACCTTTTAAGACGCTTTGTTTGCTTGTTAAAGAAAATTATTGGGTTCTTAAATCGAAATACGCCGAAATAAAGTACTTGAGAAAATTAATATAAGACTATATTGCAATCGTGAGGTTGGTAATGGAATTGATTAAATGTCACTAAGTTTAAATAAATTTTTTAAATTGCTTTTAATTCACATTAATTACATTATATATTACTATTATATTCATTTTTTGTTACTAATTGTTATTTATTTATTTCTATGTTAATTGCATTGCAACATAATCTCAAAACTTAGATGTTTTCCAGATTTAGTACCTTTATTTTTTTTTAAATTGGTACTAGAAATTGACAACCTCCAGTTGAGGTTATATCGTTTTTATTTTCAAAAATAATTAGTATTTTGCAATCAAAACGAAGAAAAAGCAACCGTAGATAATTAAAAAAAACCCGTTTAAGGAAAATTGAAACATTAATTACGCCAAATTTTATTTGAAAAGTTAAAAGGAGATCCTCAATAAAAAGATTTGATTGCACTCATAAAGTTGATGGATAAAATGGATTGTACAATTGATTCAATTATATTCCAATTGCTGTAAGCATGGACAGTAGAATCTAACAGTACTGCTACATCAGATTCTACTGTTCTTGGTTTTTTATTCTTAAGAATATTGATGTCTTTCACTTTTGCTGTCAGATGCGTCAATCGCGTCAATATTGAGAAAAATACGAAAATATGAAAATTTCTAGTGTTAGTTCTAGTTTTAATTGTTATTCAGCGTTAGTAACTTTCTTATTCCATTGCTAAAACTGGATTGGGTACGCTCATTGCATATGTAATTTGTTACTCTTCCAGAACATACTGTTCAATTTTTGCTCTCAGAAGCGTCAATATCGAGAAAAATACGAAAATATGAAAATTTGATGAATTTTTTTGTTTTAGAAGTAGTTAATGATAACACTCGAGAATTGGAGCATGTTAGAAAATACTTTTGGAACAAAAATTGTGGCAAATTTTATTCTTGACAATATTGCTTTATGGCACTTTTGCTCTCAGATGCTTAAATATTGAGAAAAATGCGAAAATATGAAAATTTAATGAATTTGTTACCTTTTTAAGTTGTTAATGGTAACACTGGGGAGTCGGAGCATATTAAATCTGTAAGGTTGGCAACGCTGCTTATTTTAAATAGATCTAAATTAAAAGGTATCACAAACGTATTAAAAGTAATTAAAACACTGAATTATTTTTACATAGTTATATTGAAATAAATCATTTTTAAAATAATTCTTTACAAAAGAAAATTTTAAGACGGTAAATCTACGGTTTCTTACGAGATAAATATAGGATCACTAGAAAACACTCGATAAAAGACGGAAAATAAGTCGTTTTTTTTTGTATTTCTAAAATGAGAAATATTTTTTCGGACAAATGGTTACCTAATAAGATGATAATGATAATAATTAAATACAAAGATTATTTTTAAGTATACGCAGAGAGACTTACCCAATTTAATAATTATTTCCGTCGCGGTATTCTTAATAATTTTTTTTTGTCCTCTTTATCAATACACAAGTGCAAACACATAATCGGATTATCGTTTTTTTCTTTTTTTTTATTAATTAATTATTTCCTTTCATTTTAATAATAATTATTCTTACACAGCATTCGAGAAGTTGTTACATTTAATAAGTTAATGAGTAATTGGCACTGACTCTTCCAATCTCATTTGAAACACACACTCTCGCGCTTTTTTTCTGTATTTTTTCTATATACATACCTACAAACACATTAAAAAATACTAGTGAGCTGTCTCGTTAGTGATTTCTTTCAAAAGAATGGTAAAGAATAATAAAAATAAAAATATTAATCGACTAATAACTGTGTATATATAAATATGGCAACATCTATATCATATATAAGAAGGTCTTTTTTAACTGTTTAATCTTTTCTGATGACTCACTTTTCTTTTAACAGTAACACTATACATCGATCCTATATATGATATAATTTATATAAATATTTAATTATGACTTATTTATTTAGTATTCGTGCTAAAAAAATAAATTAATAAAATTAAATCAAAATTATTATTTTTTGGGGAGAATCTTAATGTTGAAAAACTCGATTTTCGTGTATACATTAGTCTTCGTAATGTTGTGTCTATATACATTTAATAAAACGTTCACGAAGCTCTCTTTCTTCCCTCATCCCTTATTTTTACTTCGTAATCTTAGGGTTTGCGGATTATGCGTATTCTAGTATTTTTTTTCTTTCGTAATTTTTCTTGCTTAAATTTTCGCCTAGTTATAGTGAGACTACTTTACACTTGGTTTCTTTTTAATTAAAGTTTAATAACTAAGATTCTTTTTTTTTGTAGGAATACTGGCTCAGTGGCGAATAATTAAACTTATTCGTTTAATTTAAAATTAATTAATTAAAGATACGCGATTAAAGTATTTGCAGTTTTACACAAAAACTATACGATTTCATTCAAAACTGATTTTAATTTAATTTTTTGTTATAAATTAAGTACAAAAACAAATAATTGTTTTTTTTTTTTAATAGTTTTTGTGTAAAATTCTTTTAGATCTCCCCTTTCAAAATTAAGCCTGTTTGAAATGATGACACAATTAGTGCCTCTTTGGTATCTTTTCATCTTAATTTCTAAATAATTATATATTACAACGTTATTATTAAATAATAATCGGATGAGTATTGGCAGTGGAGATTCATTTTTTTATAATAAAACGTTTAATTAATTATATCACCTAGAGTTGGTGCGAAAAAAATCAAACAGGATTACTTTGGGAAAGATCGATCTAATTAAACTTAATAATAATTAATTAATTAATAATAATCGTTTGGTAATAATTCATATTTCCCTACGGATATTACAATATTATTTCATTTATACGATTTTTTTTCGTTTACTTCTTATAGTTTAATTTCTTTTAAAACTTTACTCTTAACATGACCGCTTCCGGCCAAGACAGTCTTATGTGGTAACACGTTACATCTTTTTTTTTTTTTTTTTTGGGGGGGGGCGTGTGTGTGAGTGAATGTAAGTTATTTTCGTGAAGGTGGTGAAGCGTGATGGGTTTTCTTTTTAGTCCTCAAAGTTTCTCTTAAAGTTCCTTATAAAGTTCTTTTTAAAAATGTTTTTTTAAGAATGAATTTTTAATGTGTTAATTTATTTTTCGAAAGTTTTAGAGTTTGGTGTCGAAAAAGGAATGTCCGTCACTTTATTTTTTGGTTTCTTCACTTTTACGTTCTTACTATTTATTATGTTTTCGTTAATTTGGGTTATTTATTCCTCCTCTTGTTCGGTTTCTTCGCCAGGACCGTACATGTCTGCCAATTTATCGAATCTCGGTCCCCAAGCTCCCAAATAATCGTATTCTTGAACTTCATCATCAGTTCCTATTTAAACAAAAATTAATTAATAATTAACCATAAAATAATAGTATTTGATACAGAACACAGCGTATAGACACCACGTAATTGAATTACAAATTCCATCTTGTGTAAATGGAAGCTGTTGAATGACCGCAACATGTCGTATGTCCTTAGAGTTAATTAGTATAGATGTAATTAGTTTGTGTTAAATTGAAATACAATTAATCAAAATCGTTTCATTGAAAAGGACTTAAACTGAAATCATGGAAACTTAAATTTTTGTACAGAAGAACCTCAAACATTCTTTTATAACCTCATTTCTTAATCACGAATGGTTTCGGAGAAATCAACCTCATTTTCAGGAAAGATTAATATCCCTCCCTCGTTTAAAAATCGATATTAAAAGAACTGTTGACCATGGAAACTTGTATTTTGGTACAACCCAAGATTAAATATTCTTTTACATCCTCAGAAAGTTTCATTTCTTAATTTCGAATGGTTTCGGAGAAAAACTTTTTTTCAACCTCATTTTTAGGAAATGTCAAAATCCCTTATTATTAAAAATCGATATTAAAAGAACTGTTGATCATGGAAACTTATATTTTGGTACAACCCAACATTAAATATTCTTTTACAACCTCAGAAAGTTTCATTTCTTAATTTCGAATGGTTTCGGAGAAAAACTTTTTTTCAACCTCATTTTTAGGAAATGTCAAAATCCCTCATTTTTAAAAATCGATATTAAAAGAACTGTTGATCATGGAAATTTATATTTTGGTACAACCCAACATTAAATATTCTTTTACAACCTCAGAAAGTTTCATTTCTTTATATCTAATAGTTTTGAAGAAAAAACATTTTTTCTTCAACCTCATTTTTAGGAAACGTCAAAATCCCCCATTTTTATTAAAAATCAATATTAACAGAACTATTGTCATGGAAACTTTTATTTTGGTACAACCTAAGCTCAAGCATTCTTTTACAACCTCAAAAAGTTTCATTTCTTTATATCCAATAGTTTCGAAGAAAAAACATTTTCTCTTCAACCTCATTTTTAGGAAACGTCAAAATCCCACATTTTTATTAAAAATCAATATTAAAAGAACTGTTGATCATGGAAACTTATATTTTGGTATAACCTAAGCTCAAGCATTGTTTTACAACCTCAAAAAGTTTCATTTCTCAATATCAAATAGTTTCCAAGAAAAAAAATTTTTTTCCTCAACCTCATTTTCAGGAAACGTCAAAATCCCTCATTTTTATTAAAAATCAATATTAAAAGAACTGTTGATCATGGAAACTTATATTTTGGTACAACCTAAGCTCAAGCATTGTTTTACAAGCTCAAAAAGTTTCTTTTCTCAATATTTAATAGTTTCCAAGAAAAGCATTTTTTTTCCTCAACCTCATTTTTAGGAAACGTCAAAATCCTTCATTTTTATTNGTTGTGATCATGGAGACTTATACATTGGTACAACATGAGCTCAAGCATTCTTTTATAATCACAAAAAGTTTTATTTCTCAATATCTAATAGTTTCCAAGAAAAACATTTTTTTTCCTCAACCTCATTTTTAGGAAACGTCAAAATCCCTCATTTTTATTAAAAATCAATATTAAAAAAAATGTTGATCATGGAAACTTATACTATGGTACAACCTAAGCTCAAACATTCTTTTACAACCTCAAAAAGTTTCATATCTCAATATCTAATAATTTCCAAGAAAAACATTTTTTTCTTCAACGTCATTTTTAGAAAACGTCAAAATCCATAATTTTTAAAACTCATTATTAAAAGAACTGTTGATCATGGAAACTTATATTTTGGTACAACTCAACCTTAAACATTGTTTTACAACCTCAAAAAGTTTTACTTCTTAATCTCAAATAGTTTTGCAGAAAAATTTTTTTTTCTCAAGATGGTTTCTTTATTATAATAACTAAGAAGTAAATAAATAAAATTAGGCGAAACGCAACTTTAAGAAAACGAAATTTAACAACTAACTCACTTCTTAAAGTTAAACGGTCCACAAGTCCTATAAAGTTTCTACGTGATACTGGAGATCTTTGTTCAGCTCGCCAAACTAACTCAGAAAATAATTGCTTTAAAAAAACTTAATAAAATGATTCAAAAAGATTTTCCTTATTTTTAATTGTTCGTGCTACCACGTAGTAATTTTTTTGTGGTAAATAAAAAGAAACGAGTTCCCAAACAACATCGTAAATCGGTCGGTGAGAAGAAGTAAACTTCTATTTCGCGTTTTCTCCTCTGTAAATACGACCGCATTTCGAACATTATCGCGATATATCATGACGACGTGGTCGGGGCTAAAGGTGCCTAGGAGTTGTGGAAAAAGTACCTTTTTAGAAAAGGAAAACAGTACTTTCACGACAAATGGCGTTCTAATTTTAGCTCCTATCGATTTGTATCTACTCCAATTCTTTTTCAATTCCACTAACAATTCTTTCCTTATTTCTAAATAAAAAAAAACTTTATGTATTTTACCTGAAGCCAAAGAACTTAACGATCCCGCGGTACTACCACCACCTTCATAAGCGTAATTCCTTAAATCGTCGAAAGGAGGAGCGTTTGGATCGCTATCGGCCCTCTTCTTATGCTCTTCAATGAATATCCCTACATTGGGTTCTTGAGTTAATCCGATGATATTAACTGCAAAATAAAAAGTTTCAAAGTTAAAAATGTATATTAAAAAAATTTTAACTCCTCAGAAGTGGTCCACTTATTACAAGTTTCGACGAGTAAAGTGGGCGAAATTTAATCAAAAATTCCAACCACCAATTAACGGTTTTAATAAGTGACCGCAAAGTAAACGCTAAGAGCGCTGTTAACGTTCCCACTTAAACTAACTCTAACTTGACCTCAACTTTCCACTAGGTGTCCCACATCAAATTTTTTCCTTGCAATTAAATTTTTCTTACAACATTTACTCCTCAAATCTAATTCTTGTAATTTCTAATCAAAGAAAATCCAGAATTACAAAGATTCACAAACAAGTTAAACTAGAGAACCTTAATTACACAGACTTTGTTCACAACTTGTTCTATTGCCCAACGAAAATCATGTTTCTTTAATTGCAAACACTACCAAACTTCCTGCTTTACTCTTGTAACAAATTAGAGGCAAAATGACATGTTGAAATGTGAAGAGGAAGTTAATTACAACTTCTAATCTTTATCAAGAAAGAATGTTAAGTTAACAAATAACGATTTTGAGTTAAAACTTTGAATATGTGAAAACGTAAAAATGATATTTTAACAAGAATAATTTGAGATTTAATAAATTTTTAAATAAAAAATGAAATGTTTAGGGCACATGTAGGTCTTTGATGAAAATTAGTATTGTTCCTAGGTCTTGTTCCTTTATATCAGTAGGTGTCAACATTCACACAGTATATGTTCAGCAGTCTCTGACTCGTCGTTGCAAAACCGACAAGTTTGATTCTTAGCTTGTCCAATATGGGTGAGGTGATATTTTAGGAGCCCATAGTCGGTCAAGAAGCCTTCTTTGGTTTTGTTTGGGACGGAGATATCATATTCTTCGCCTGTCAGTAACTTGGAAGTTCTTTCCAGCGTAAGGGCCTTCCAATTATTGATTGCCTGTTTTAAGTTGGGTTGGGGTGCAATAAAGGGCGTTTTCGCTGCCTTTTTGGACAGCTTGTTAGCCTTTTTATTGCCCTAAATGTCTTTGTGACCTGGAACCCACCATAGAGTAACATCATTTCCGCTAGCGAGTTCTTTTAGTTTGCTGGTACACTCTCTGATCGGTGCGGAATCACACGTGTAGGTCTGAATTGCCCGTAGAGCGGCCCGCCTGTCTGTCAAAATGCTTATGGATGCACCTTTCTGTCCGTTTCCTAGGTTCAAAACGGTGCAGAAGTTTATAGCAAGAACTCCTGCTTGAAAAATGGTTATGTTATGGTAGCTGAAGGGCAATTTAATGCTATTTGGTTCATTAATGCCCATACCTACTCCAGATCAAACTGTCTTTGAAGCATAGGGGTACTAGGCACCTAGTCTTTTAGCGTGAAATAATATCGGTTTTCTTTTGAACTACATTATAGCGTGAAGAAACGCCAATTATAGCGTGAAGGAATGTTAGGATAGGTCAGTTCTGTTTTGAAACCCTAATTATAGCGTGAAGGAATGTCGGTTTTCTTTTGAACTCCAATTATAGCGTGAAGAAACTCCAATTATAGCGTGAAGGAATGTTAGGATAGGTCAGTTTTGTTTTGAAACCATAATTATAGCGTGAAGGAATGTCGGTTTTCTTTTGAACCCTAATTATAGCGTGAAGGAATGTTACTTTCTTTTGTACCCCAATTATAGC